AGAGCAGGAAAAATTATCAATTCAAAAATCCAAATGTTCGGAATTCCAAACGTACAATTATATTGTCTCTTTTTTATAATGTGTAAAGGAATAAAATGTAAAAAGTCAAGAGGATATAAATCTCAAATAATAAATAAATAAGAAAGTACAATTATAGGTTTAATCAAAAATTAATGAGAATTCAAACTCTTCTGTCTAATTTTTACTGAAAATCTTCTTAAAATGAGTTAAATTCATGGTTCTAGTGCTGAGTTTTGATGTTCTGTTGGCAATTATTTACTTCAATTACCCCATCATGATAAATATTAATTCATAATATCAAAAAATGCAATGAAATTTACACATTCTGGAGCAAAATAACTGATCCTTTTTCAATTCAGCATGAAATTTCCCTCTCCAACCTTCCAAGACCCCATAAAATCCCCATTTCCTCCATTCCAAGCATCACCCAAACGACAATTTGTCATTCCCAGATTATTTTCCCCAATAAATGATAATGCACTCAAATCAATTGAATATACTGGAAACCCCAGAAGAAATTTCCTCCTCTCAAATCCCACCGAAAAAATTCATGAAAATAATTCTCAATTAAAATGAGAGTAGACAGTATCTATGTGATCCCATTACTAAACATCGATAATTTGTTGTGAATCATTAACCCTAGTTGCTTTATCATGATAAATATTCACTCGTCCTATCAAAGAATTTCATGAGATTCATAAATTCCGGGGGAAAACAGCTCGTCATTTGTCAATTCAGCACGAAATTTCTCTATTGAACATTCCAAGGTCCCATAAAATCCCCATTTCCTCCATTCCAAGCATCACCCAAACGACAATTTCCCATTCTCAAATTATTTTCACCAATAAGTGATAATGCACTCAAATCAATTGAATATACTGGAAACCCCAGAAGAAATTTCCTCCTCTCAAATCCCACCGAAAAAAATCATGAAAATAATTCTCAATTAAAATGAGAGTAGACAGTATCTATGTGATTCCATTACTAAACATTGATATTTTGTTGTCAATCATTAACCCTAGTTGCTTTATCATGATAAATATTCACTCGTCCTATCAAAGAATTTCATGAGATTCATAAATTCCGGGGGAAAACAGCTCGTCATTTGTCAATTCAGCACGAAATTTCTCTATTGAACATTCCAAGGTCCCATAAAATCCCCATTTCCTCCATTCCAAGCATCACCCAAACGACAATTTCCCATTCTCAAATTATTTTCACCAATAAGTGATAATGCACTCAAATCAATTGAATATACTGGAAACCCCAGGAGAAATTTCCTCCTCTCAAATCCCACCGAAAATAATTCTCAATTAAAATCGGAGTATGACAGTATCTATGTGTGCACGCGTCGTTCAGGATTTCGTCTCGTGTGAAAGCACGTCTGGATACATCGGGGGGGCCGAGGATCGGTTTTCTAAGGAGTTGAAGAGAAAGCCTGAGAACATAACTGACGAAGAGGCCAAACGCCAACCAGAGATATACCTCCCATTCTGTATAAACCAGAGTGCACGCCAACAGTGTGTCTAGATGCAGACCTTCCGAGTCGGGAGCGGCTACCACACCACACGTAACCCATGACTCCTTTTCTTACTCCTTCCCCTCGTCATTTTCCATCACCCCATTGAGCTGTGAATTTCATACGAGAAGGCATTGCTGTCTCTGTGCGCCTCATGTATTCCCTGTCTGCACGAATTGCAATTAAACCATATGTTTTTTGCGGAGTTAATGCACACGTGAAATTATTATTCCAGAATTATTCAGGAGATCCAGAATGTTCGAGATGCAGAAGCTAAACTAAACCAGGAAAATAATTTTGCGAAAACATCAGAATTTGAATTTGAAGAGACGAATTTCTTGTTTTAATTGTAATGAGACATCAAATTTTCATTTAATTATGGGAGAAGAATTTAAAACAATTGACTTTCGATCATGGAAATTGGTTAAACTGCAGATTATTTTCTAATGTAAATAAATTTATTATTAATTTATTATTTTATTAATTGTTCAGGGAATTTTTTTTCATCTCAATGTTAAAATCAAGTTTAGCTTTCAGGGAAATTTAATCATGAATAATTGTCTAGTGTAAAATTGGATGTGAATAAGAAACGGAAACGTATTTTATAACAAATTATTTGTTCGATATTTCACCAGGCATTACTTTTCTCATTTTTCATTTTTCTAATTTTTAAAAATGTAAATAAATTGATTAGGAATTAAAAAAAATATTTCTACGATAGAGACTTCTTCTTTTTCTGAATAATTCAGGGGAGAAAGGTCTCAAGTCTCAATAAAAACTATTGAAATTTAAACTAAAATTCAATTTTAGACTTCAAAGAATTTCAATAATGAAATAATAGCAAAAATAAAACGATTCGAATACAAAAATTCTAAAAACACTTGAATACTGAAACGAAACGTATTTTATAACAAATAATTTGTTCATTTCATTCCCAGTTTTCATGTTTCTAATTTTTAAAAATGTAAATAAATTGATTAGGAATTAAGAAAAATATTTCTACGATAGAAACTTCTTCTTTTTTTGAATAATTCACGGGAGAAAGGTCTTAAGTCTTAATAAAAACTGTTGAAATTTAAATTAAAATTCAATTTTCGACTTCAAAGAATTTCAATAATGAAATAATAGCAAAAATAAAACGATTCGAGTACAAAAATTCTGAAAATACTTGAATACTGAAACGACACGTATTTTCATCCCAAATAATTGCCCGTGTATTTTTCCCTCTCATTTCCATACCCATTTTCAATTTTTATTGTACCTCTCAATACTGAACCTCGAGTCCAGGTGCAGCTGTTACGTCACCTCTCGCCCCCCAAGTGACTCCTCTTCTACATCCGTTAAAGAGTGAATGTATCCGAGGTGAGCGCATAAATAAATACAGAAAACTCATGGAATGAAAGATCGTAAACATTTGAGGTGAATAGATAAAATGTCACAGTACAAATAAATCCAACGGTTGAGACCACATATTTATTTCCCTCACTTCGCAGCTCGAGACGATGGAATTCCCTGAAAAATCCACACTGAATTCATAAGTTCTGTTAAACAATACAGAACAACGAGATAACGAAATATATTTCGGCATCCGGTGTGGAAAAAAATGAAGGACCATGCGACCTACACAAGTTTCTCTCGGATTTGTACACGCGTATGGGGAAAAGACTGGCTTCCTGGAAAGAGGGGTTGGACACCTGTCCCTCAGTGAGCGTCAACTTTATTTTTCGAATGGATTGGCGGGATTGAGAGCCACTGGGCGTGCATCCTTCTGTCACGTGTTGGCGGGTCAGATGATGTCAAAAATTTTCTTGAAGAGCTCATTCATGTCAACAGTTCTTCTAGTTAATTTTACAAGTTTAAATGAAAAGAAGAGATGAAAAATGAGAAAGATGAAGTAAAAAGGATTTTTGAACCGTCAATAATTGAAGATCTGCAGAGTGAAATTTGACAATTTTTTTTTCATTTTGAAGATATTTTTTCAAGCTTGAAAATGAGTTGTGACTTGGGTCAATCGCTTCATTTGGTTGAGAGATATTGATGATTTAAGGAGTCTTTTTATGCTCCGAAATATTCTGAATGTTTACATCCGCAGAATCATCAGAAAAATGAACATTAAAAAATAACAAAATTTTGGGGAGGTCAGAAATCTTCTTTAATAGTTCATCAACCTCAATAATTTTTCTAATTAATCTTCTCCATTAAGTAAAAAGAAAAGAGAAAAAACAACGACAGTATTCAATCGTCAATAACTCAACATCGGCAGAGTGCAATTTGACGATTTTTTCCCATTTCAAAGCCGTTTTTAAAATCTTCAAAATGAAATTTGAATCATCTCAATCGTTTCATTCCATCCAGAGATCCCAAAGATTCAAGAACCCTCAATTTCTGCTCCAAAATATCTCGAACATTTACCTCCCCTAACCATCATCAAATCCCCCCCCAAAAAACCAAAAAATCCTGACTAAAAATGCCCTCGAAGCCCCTCGAAATCGCAGTTGAGGACTACCACAAGACCCCGTTTCCTCGAATTGTTTAAACAAATTTCCTGCCCGAATTTGTTAACATTTTTCAAAACCGAAGCACAATGATCTTCCCCATCACCTCCTGAAGATTAACGTGCTTCGATTCCTAAAATTAGGGGAGTGCGGGGTAAAATGGGTACTTTTGAAATTATTTTAAATATTCATAACTCAGAAGCAGATTTATCAATTGAGTTCAGCCTAAGCTCATCCCAAATCTTCATTATTGTTCTCTGTATTAAAAAATAAAATTAGGGGAGGGTGGGGTAAAATGGACACTTTAGACTTTCTTTAAATATTCATAACTCAGAAACAAATTTATCAATTGAGCTCAATTTAGGCTCAACACAAAGGGAAAGAGTTGTTCTTTGTATTGAAAAAAAAAAAAATTAAATTTTATCACCATTTCAACCCCTCATTAACATTTAAAAAAAGTCAAAAGTGTCCGTTTTACCCCAATCTCCCCTATTCCATTTCACGAACAATTCAACACGTCATGAACATTAAAAAAAAACCCTCTGCCCAATCGATACTTTCCGCCGGAAATTTGTTAAAAAATTTGTAAAATTTTCAGCCTTCTGTTACCCCTTAAACCGACCACAAAATGGAATGGCAGCGTGAAGGAGGCAGCCGGGCCGGGCCCAATGTTTTCAGAAAGGGCCCCACCAGCAATGTCGGACGCGACACAAGAATACTAATGCCCCGGAGCGGCATTGGCCCCCCAAAACCGTCAAAACCCCGGTGATATCGCCCCCAAACCCCCAAAACCCACCACAAAAAGATATTTCGAATGCCCCAAGACGCAGCGCAGGCGTCATCGCGAAAAAACCGACGAATGCGCCGGCGCTGAGCGTCGTTCCTCGACCTGTTGCCTAGCAGCAGCGTCTTTAAACCCTCCGAAATAATGCACCAACAAATAAAAAACCGGCAACAACACTCACCGGATGCTGATGGCAGGGCCGAGATGACTATGAGCGACAGGACGCTTGCACACAGTGCGTAATCCAAATAGAAACGTCGCTGCATCTCGGAGTATTTATCCAAAAAATCACAACGAAATAACGACAATCACACACACATAGCCCCGGGTACACCGTGGCAACGGGCAACTGCCTCACTATCCCTCATCTGACCAAAACTCGCTTGACATTCGTAACAAACAACTCTAGTATCCAAAATAAAACAAATCACACAATTATCGTCGGGGGAAAAATCACTCGGTTCTGCTCTCACCACACAAATTACTCTAATTCACAATCACTGAATTGTTTGCATTCATTACGTACACGAAATTCGGGTTTAAGTGAGCAGGAGATTGATAAAAATAAACAAACGACACGCGGTTAAGCCGTATACGAGCACGATCGCGCACGAAACACGTCTGGGGTTCTATTGTTCGCTTAACGCGCTGAAAGTAGTGCCGCGGTGCGCGCGCACCTGCCCGCCGGCTTGGGTATCACTGCGCGGGGCAAAATGGCCGGCGGGTCGACCAATGGGCGCTCGGGGCCGGGGGAATGCTCGGTGGATACAGGGGAATTGGAGGGTTGCTCGGCCCCGGGTCTCGGGGAGTTTGAATAATTTTTTAGGGGAGGCTTCGGGGACAGACAACAGATGGTCCCGTCGGCGGAGGGCGGGGGGAGCTTCGGGTGTGCGGATGCTTTGGAGAATTTCTACGCGGACATCCGGGATTCCTTTTTAATTTTGGAGGTTGATGGAATGGGGAGGGACGTTCGAGTTTTTTTTACAGCTTGGTACGGACCACGTTGTAGATTCAAACATTTTCAGTCAGGAAATTTGGTAATTAAATTGCGTGGGGAGTTTGAAAATAATTAGGAATATTCAGCGTTATTCTAGCTACGTTTTGCAGTGTCATTGCTTCCGAATGGAGGCTTCGGCATCGTTCTAATTTAGGTTTTGGATTTTTTCGGTTGTAAAGACATAGGATGATCCAAAAAGTCAGAAAATGCCATTTTAGGGCTCGTTCGTACGTGTCTGTGTGTAACAAAGTTTCTGTTCAATTGTTCGCTAATGAATGAACGGAATTGAATCTTTTTTTCAAATGTAGGTATTGTTGAACCCCATCAATCGCCATTAATTGAAATTTAATTCATCGATTAGTTTTTTCAATTTTCGATTTTTTTCGAAAATCGATTGGCCCACGATGACTAAAAAAACGTTCTGAATTGATTGAATGATGGCTTAAAAAATTTGTTTGGATGTCCTTTTGACCGAGTTCGAAGATGAAGGCGATCGCAAAAATCGTTATTTCGATTTATTTGAGAATTTGCAAAAATTTTGGATTTTTTGAAAATTAGAGTTCCGGGGATATCTTTGAATTATACATGACAGAAGGAAATGATGTGCAAAATATCCATTCGGAAGCATTTTGCTAATTTATTATCAAAAATAACTGTACTAAATGCAATATAAAAGCAATTTCCCATTTATTTTTTATAATCTTATTATTATCAATATTATAATTTTATTGTTAACATTGAATCAATATTCAATGATTTTTAATTGCTGATGAAATGAAAGTAATGAATCGATTTATGAAAATGAGAAATTAATAAATTGTGTGTAAAAAATACGCATTACGACAATTAAAAAAATATATTAGCTAAAACATTTTTATTCCCATTCAGTTGAATTACTGATTGCAAATGGACTCCCCTCAGATAAGAAGTATAAATCGTTATAGATGACGCGAAAATTCCCGCATCCTTTCAACTAACGAATACAAATGCAGCATTACAATTTGTTGAATGAGTACGACGATTAATATTTTTGTTCAACGTATATTTTTACACGAGCGTATTATCCCCCTTGGAATTTCACCGAATGATCTGCGTTGCATCCAAGTTGGAATACACGAGCCTGAGTCATTAGTTCTTATTAATGAAGCCGTTAACCCTATCGTGGGCAACAACAAACCATGCTGCACGAGTTGTCTTCGCTAATTAATGCCGCGTCGTACATCAACGGAATAAATTGACACTCTTGAAATAAGTGTTTGGGTTATTTTATTGTGTGATTGGAGGAATTTTTACTGGCGTGATCTTCATGTTGAGGGAAAAATTAATGGATTTGTTTTTTTGGGTTTTTGAGGACTTGAACTGTTCATTTTTTATTTATAATTAATTAGGTCTGCAAAACTGTTCATTTAATGAAATTCAATAAAATAAATGGCGTGTTCTTTTTTTTCATTATTCTATTTACACAAGAATTTGAGTAAAAATTAACATGAATTTGTGTAATTTTAATTTTTGTTCAATCATTTATTGAATAAAAAAGGAAGAGTTCATGTAACTGTGGAATTTTTAAGCACTTGAAGTGTTTATTTTTAATTTATAATCAATTACTATTGTAAAAATGTTCTTTTAATGGAATTCAATAAAATGAATGAATTAATCCTTCAGTTTGTACTCATTTACTGCATAATTTTGTTAATTAATCTATTTTCACAACAATTTCATAATAAAAAATCACAAAAAAATTGAAAAACTTCAATTAGTACTTAATCATCCATTAAATAAAAATGGGAGAGTTCCTACGATTCTAGTATTTGTGTCTATTTCTAATTTATAATTAACTATTATAGCAAAAATATTTCTTCACTAAAATTCAACGAAACCTAATTATTCCGTCAGTGTTTATTCATTTATTGAAAGAGTTAAAAAATTAAATTCCATCAATAAATTCTTTGTTCTATACCGTCCCAACAATTTTAAAAAATATAAATGACACAAAATTGAAATAATTATCATTTTTATTTGGTTATTTACCAAATAAATTTTTTTTTAATTATTAATGAATGAAATTTCATTGATACTATGTCGTCAAGGAGATTGAACTCCCCGTTACATCGATACTGCCCAGCACTCCTCAAAAAAATGGCTGATCCTCTCGTATCCTCGATTCAGGACAATAAACTGACGACTCTCAATCGAAAAATCATCGAGATAAAGAAGAAGATCCAGCTGTCTGGTGAGTCTCCACATTTTTATTCTCCGCTGGAATGAAGCATTCGAAGAAGTTGAGTGTTACGCGAGTGGCCAAGACAATTGTTCTCATCAGGCTGATGATTTCACTTGCTCCGGAGCTCCTCATCGCCTACAATTTCCCCTCGTTTTCATTGTCGCTGTCTCGTGGCATCTCAAGCAATACAACTGGGGGCCTCATGTGCTCCGTTCGCTGTACACGCTCGGTGAATGAGCGGCGTTGCTAATTCAACCGCTAACTGGACCTCCACAGAGGGGGTCAAGTTTTACGATTCCACGAAGTCTCATGGGCTCGGGGTTTATGGTTTTCTCTTATTGATAAGTTAAATGCATTCTATTGCCTTCAATTAGAGAAAAGTTGGGGTTTTATTTTTATTGTTGGAGAGAGAATTTCGGTGGGTTATTATTGTTTTTCGGTAATTATTAGGTAATAATGAGGAACAATTAATTTTGTTGCATGAGAAATTGATGATTCATTTGATTCCGTAGTTTTTGGAATTGAATTAATGTAATTGATGGGTTTTTAAATGCATGAAGTCAATTATTAAAAAATTGTTGTAAAAATTGCTTTGTCGTATTGTTTTTAAAATTATTGGATAATTTATCTCAATAAATTATTTGAATTTTATTCATTTAATTTACAAAATTGAAGAATGTTTGATAATAATTAGTAATAAATAATTCTTTCTTGTATGAGGAAATGATGTCTGGAGCGCAATTTCATGTGAAATTATTTTTTTAAAATCGTTTTTATCCAATGGATTTAAAAATAATTAGAAAATGTATCCTGCTAATTTCTTCGAAATCGCATGTAAAATTTTTTTTATCCTAGTGTCTTATAGAGTTGCCGATTCACAAGGAAATTAAATTTTACTATCAATCATAAACGTTGAAGAAGTTTAGAGTTCAATGTCGAGAAGTTAATTCTCGCCATGAATTGACGAAAAAAATGAAGAATGTTTGATAATCTACTGACCCACATATCTTTTCTACTTGAATTATTCAATAATAACGAGTAGCAAATAGTTTTCTTGCTTGAAGAATTGACGTCTGTCGAGAAATTTTATTTGAAATTAATAAATAAATGAATAAATAAAATAATTAGAGGATTTATTTTGCTAATTTCTTTCAAATTTCATCAAAAATTTTCTCAATTCCAATATCTTATAACTTTTCCACTCTACAATGAAATTAAATTTTATTATCAACTATAAACACTGAGGAAGTTTAGAGTTCGAGGTCGAGAAGTTGATTCTCGTCATCAATTGACGAAAAAAATTGAAGAATGTTTGATAATAACTAATAACAAATAATTTTTTTGTATGAGAAATTGATGTCCAGAGGAAAATTTTATGCGCAATTATTTTTAACAAATCATCTTTATCCAATAGTTTTCAAAATAATTAGAAGACTCATTCCGCTAATTTATTGAAATTTCATATGAAATTCCCTCAATTCTAATATCTTATAACCTTTCCACTCTACAATGAAATTAAATTTTATTATCAATCATAAACATGGAGGAAGTTTAGAGTTCAATGCCGAGAAGTCGATTCTCGTCATTAACTGACGAAAAAAAATTGAAGAATGTTAATCCATTGACCCACATATCCATTTTATTCGACCATCATTTCGCAATAAAATAACTTCTGAAGTTATCGATGATGAAACTCTCCGGCGGATGAAGCCAGGCGATTGAAATTAAATTCTCGTAAGAATGAGAAGAAAATATGATCGTAATAGAATAGACATTTGGAATTACTCGGGCGATTGGAGGGGAACAGATTCGAGCGAGAATTCTTGTTCAACGCGTTCTCTACTATTCATCAGGAATGTAAAGTGAGGATTCAATAGTTCTTGGATATTTGCGATGCTCTCTTGAATAGAGCAGTAATGCTTTATTCATGAAGATTGATAGTATTCGGTTGATGCAAATTTAACGCTCCCCACGATCTCTCAAGTCTCTAATAATAATTAATAATCTAACAGATTTTTTAATTAATGCCCGTTTCATCGCGGTTTCAGAGGGGCAACGAAAAGCGAATTTTGAGGAATGCGATGCTAAGAAACACGAGAGTTCGGATAAACTTGGAAATCTTAAGAAGGAGATTAAAACGCTTCAGATTAAATACGCGAAAGCCAAAAATGTAAGTTTAATAATTAATTTATTTTCTTAATTAATGATATCTGAGTACTTTTTACAGTGGAAAAAATAATTCTATTATTCAACATTCCCTTTTTATAAACTATAAATGATCGAAATCGTTATAAAATCGTCATAAAATAATCAATTGAAATAAGATTGATAGAAATCTGTTTGAGCGATGAAAATCAGTCTGAGTTTTCGACGAATATCTCCGAATCTAAAGGAGATAGCTAAATTATTGTAATCACCTTTTTTGTGGCCCTTAATTCGCTCTACAAAAAAAGTTATAACATAAATTTTGCTATCTGCCTTAGATTTTGAGATATTCATTGAAAACTGTTCTAAAGCGTTTTACCGCTTCACTACTGAAATAATTGCATCAATAGAATAAAACGAGAAAAAAATTGGTGAATTGGATTTCAACGAAGCAAATGAAACTCAATTCGTCGATAATTATATTTTAAACATTCCCTATTTATAAAAAATACATTATGTAAATTATTTGGACTTTTAGTTGGAAAAAATATTTTTAAGGTAAAAAATTGATTTAGAAAACCTATCACAATAAAATTAACATAACATAATTAATTGAAATAAAATGGGGAGAATAATTGTAATAATAAAATAAAAGAATAAAAAAGTTGTCACAAAAAATTGTTGAAAGAGATTTCAACGAAAAAAATTAAAATTAATTCGTCGATTCGTAATTCGTAATTCTGTTTCTCATAATTTTGCGCTCCAGAATGAAGAAGCTGCGGAGAAGGTGGCACTCACAAGCCGCGAGTCCTCCGCCTGTGTGAGAAAACGTGGCCTGGAGCAGGCCATTGCCAGAGTCGATGAAGACAATATTCGATTGCGAAAAAAACTCGATCTCGTCAAGTATGAGAGTGATAAGGTAATCATCATAAATCCATCAGTTTTTATTATGATTACGACTCAATATCCAATCAATTTCTTGCTCATTCCAGCAACAGGACAGACTCTCCAAACTGCTCGGCGAGTATGAGCAGTATGTCAATGGGAAGGTGCAAAAATTTGTTGAGAGGAAATTGGATAATCCGTTGAAAAAGGTTTAACCATAGTAAGACGATCTGATTATTAATTTACCTATCGTTTTTTTTTTATACGTTTCGGGAAGCATTGAAAATTCGAGGGAATTCCTAAGTGAGACGACGTGTATTGCATTTCGCCACTATTTTAAATATATCTGAACATAAATTGTTGTCACGTTATGGATCAGCCGAAATTTCAAGAAATTTAATGATTCAAAATTACAAATTTTATGGGAAAAGCCATAGAAACTGGAAACTTTTGTTTAATTGCTCCATAAAAATCAATAGGAATCAGGAAAATTTAGGTGAATAAGTTCTTCAATTTCCAATTAATTGAACATTCGGCGTAATTTGGTATCGAATATTCACAGTTTGCTGCTCAAAAATTTAGAAATTCATTGAGTTTTCAGTGAGATCTGAAATTTCATGACTCTTTCCCCCTAAATTGACTTTAATGTCATACTTGAAAATTAATAGTCAATTGCCCATGAAATTTCAATTTTTTCCCAACAATGTATTCTTTAAAAATTAATATAAATCATAAAAATTCAGATAAATAATCTGTTAATCTTCAATAAATTGAAAAATTTGCATAATTTCGTCCTGAATATTCCAGTTTTGACTGAAAATTCAAGTAAGTTAAGGAATTTTCTCTCTCTTACTGCTCAAAATTTAAAAATTCATTAAACTTTCAATAAAATATGAAATTTCAATTTTTCTCTACCAATGCATTTATAAAATATAAATGGAAATCATGAAAATTCAGATGAATATATCTTTAAACCTCCAATTAATTAAAAATTCTGCGTAACTTCGTCTTGAATATTCCAGTTTTGCCTGAAAATTCAAGTAAATTGTGGAATTCTCGTCTTCCCTCTGCTCAAAAATTCAAAATTCCATTGAATCATCACGGAAATCTGCAAATCCACCAGTTTCCTCCCTCAAACGAGCGCAACGTCCATGAAATTAAAATCTTTTCGTAACAATGAATGAAAAAAAAAACGGAATTGACCATTCCAGAAAGTAATAAGCCTGGAGAATCATTTGCATCGAATAAGTGTAATGCAGATGGAAGCGGACACTGTCCGCAAGAAATACAGATCAGTCAGAACGAGTCTCAAGTCAGACGCAGCCTTCTACGTGTCTCAATTGAAGAATCTGGAGCAGAGTATAAAGGACCAAGATGCCGAGATAAAGCAGCTCCAGGTAAATCCCCAAATGCCCCGATTTCCCCAATTAATTAACATTGAAATCTAAAATAGGAGGTTAAAACCGAAGCCGTCGACTTGAGGGACATCACAAAGGAGACGCTGACGAAACAGGAGATCGAGGCGATGCATACGAGTAAAGAGCGGGAGAACGTCATTCTGGATTACAGACAGCGGGTGGAGGACCGGCGATTGGAGCTGGAGAGGCTCGAGAGGATGATATTTCCTGCGGTCCGACTGCCGCCGAGGGAGGACGACTTCGAGGGTGTGGAAAAAACCGAGGGCTTGAGGACTGCGGTGGCTGACAAACCCAAGGATGAAATTACATTTTTGGAGGAAGCCTTCGCGAAATTGAGGAGTGCCACGGGGGTGACGAGAAATGATGACGTTCTCGACCGGTTTCTCGCACAACGCGCCACTAAGGAGAACCTCCAGAGGATGAGGACGGTTACTGAGGACGAGAAAATGGGGCTGGAGAAACAGAGGCAGAAGTTCACGGCTGAAATCGAAATGCAGAAGTTCTCGGAGACTAAAGATGCTGATCAGTTAGTTTCCCGTTGCTAATGGTTTAGTTCATTTCGTTAAGCACGACACATTGAGAGAAACAAGTGGGAAATTGCGCTTGTATTGCATGTAGTATAGTTATGTTTAGTAATAAATTAGCCATTTGCTTCCGAATGGTTATTTTACACGTCATTTCCTTCTATCATGTATAATTCATTGTTCATTTCATTTTGGTAAATCGAGTAGGATTTCTTTTTAGATACTTTTGTGAGATTTTGAAGTCAATTCAGAACATTTTTCAAGTTATCGTGAGATAACCGACTTTCGAAATAATTCGAAAATTGAAAAAACTAATCGATGAACGAAATTTTAATTAATGATTTGAAAGAAAAGATTCAATTCCATTCATTCATTAGCGAGCACTTGAAGAAAAACTTTGTTACATACGTACAAAAATGAATTGAAAATTTATTCTATTAAAATCGAAATTAAATTGCGTGAAAAAGATAGGAAATTGTTAAGATTAAAACATTTTTTGTTTCGTATTAAATTCATGGAGTTTTCAACTGCATTATCTTGTTCGAAATATAAAATTTGAGAAATGACCATTTCAATTGTTGAATATAAATTAAAATAAAAAATGACTTAAATATTTTTTAAATTAAATAATATTACGTGAAAAAAATTGGAAAATTCGTTGCGGCTGGCACATTTTTTTATTTCCACTTTATGAAGACTTCAACAGAATAAAATTACTTTAAGTGAACACCTCAACATTGTTCGGCAAACTTGAATTGCAGAAATGCCGAGGAACTTGCCCAACTGAACGAGCGAATCGAAGGTGAAATCCAACGTCAGAGTGCAGCTGAGGTGGAAAAGAAGCGGATCCAGGGGACACTCAGCGAGGTAGCGAAGATCCTATGGAAATTTTGTGACAGACTCAGGGTGAGTTATCGAGACGACTCAATGCACATTACTTAAACTGTCTGTCGAAAGCGCAAAGTTATCGAAATTCAGTTGACAGGGGAACGGTTCAACAGAATATTGCTAGTGTTAGTTTATCGAGGACTGAAGTCGTGAAATTTCTGCCGACGACAATTTTTTTTCACTAATTGGGGCAAAACGAGAAAATTTTTGGAGTTCTCACATGATGAAAAATTAGTTGATTAATCTTCTCGTTTTGTTTTTGTTTTTTTTGCTTTTGAAATTTTTTTGAACTCGCTCAAAATGACATTCCAACGAATTTTTTAAGCCGTCATTCACTAAATTTATAACATCTTTTTAAGTTCTCGTCTTACGAATGTTTGAAAAAATTAAAAAATTAAAAAAATGAATCAATGCATTAAATTTTAATTGATGGCGATGGATAGGGCTCAGCAAAACCTACATTTGCGGGAAAAAATGATTCAGATCCATCTATTCATTAGCGAGAAATTGACGGAAAAATGCATTTTCGGGCTTTTGGAATCATAATTCGTCGATATAAAAAATCGAAAACTTGAAAAAAGAACAATTTCCCACTTGTTCCAGGACGTGAACGAGACATTCGTTCCAATGACCCCAGAAAACCTGGAAGATCCGTATTGCTACCTAAAACTCCTGGACGAGAAGATGGAGTCGCTCATTGATATGATGGGCGGCCACGAGGAGTACAATCAGTGGATCCAGGAAACGTTCGTTGATAAATTCGAAACCCTATCGACTGGATCTGCATCGGAGGCTGTTAAGGTAGTTGATGCGGAGGCACGACCACTTTTTCCACGATTCCCTGGTGCACCGACCCCAGCCGCGCAGCCCATTCCATCTGAGGACGAGGAGGAAGTGCCCACTCGAAGTGTTCTCAAGAGACAGGCACAATTGCTTGTTGATACCAAGAGCAGGAGGAAGGGATTTAATTTCAGGAGATAACGCTCTTTTGTTTGGTGTTCGGAAGGATTTTGTTTTCCTTGTTTTTCATGACAGGTTTAATAAAAAAAATTGAGAATGAGTCGCAAGGTTTTTTTGGCTACTCCTGACGATGATCAGGTCGATGCGGATTCTGGGGGTGAGGGTGGAGGTGACGAGATCGTTGAAGCTGGGAAGGGAGAGAATAATTGGAGAAGAGAGTCTCTGCCAACGGAATTTAGTATAAAAATCTCCTCCTTCCATCACATAAAAGAATTCAGTAGTGAAGTGGTAAACGGAAATAAGTCGACTCATCTCCATTTTGAGTTTTTGAGGAATATTTCCGAATCTAAGGGAGATAGCGAAATTTTCGTAATTACATTTGTTGTAGCACTCAATCAGCTCCACAAAAAAGGTTATGACAAAAATTTTGCTATCTCCCTTAGTTTCCGAGATTTTCATTGAAAACTGGTCAATAATCAAAATTGACTCATCTCCTTTTACCAATTCGCTACTGAATTTTACCTGGGGGAGAGTCGGGCAAATTGGGACGTTTCGTGATCTTCTCTAATTGTCAATCTCTTCAATTATAAATGAAGATAGTGACAATTGGATAAGATCTCAACACGTCCCATTTTGCCTGACCCTCCCCTATTGTTAATCCTTCAGTAATGAATGTTTATCACTCGTTAGAAAGCGTTTCAGTTCCATCTCGAGTAGTTCAACATCTTCTAGAGAAGAAACGAAACATGCACGAAGCCACTCTCAAGGAAATGCAACAAGAGCTTATATCCATTCAGGAAAAATGTCGAGATGAATTTGAAGCGCTCGGAGATAAATTGAAATCCGAGATCGATGAAATTCGAGGGGAAATTCGGGGCGTGCAGGAGAATTTTGAGAGTGATGTAGGGGCGGATGCGGCAAAATGGACATTTTAACATTTTTCGATGTTCATAACTCAAATTCATTAATCGAGATCAGTTTACTTTATTTCCGATGGAAACAAAAATTGTCCTGTTTCATTAACAAGTCAATGAACTATTGACATTGAAAGTCAATAATCAATTGACAAGATAGTCTTGTCAATGAGCTATTGACAAAAAAAGTGAAAAGTGTCCATTTTACCCCCCTCACCCTAGTTTTCCATGACTCGTGTCTAAATAAAGCAGAAGAAATTCAGTGGCATTTCATTTATCAGATCAAACGATTCAATCCTGCCGAACGTCGGAAGGTGGACGTCAGACTGACTGCTCTACTCGCAGCGGAAGAATGTCTGATTAATCAGTTTCACGCAGAAATACGCAAAAATGAGAGGAAGCGAACGGCATCTGTCAGGAAAACATTCAAAAAATTCGGGAGAAAATTGAGGTGCATTGCACATGTGCCACCTGGAAGTCTAGAAATTCCGACGGATGAGGAAATTGAAGTAAAGCGAACGAAATTAGAGAATCAAAAAACAGGCATCCATTCGGAAGCAAAAAATAGCGAAACGTTTCCTAGAAATTTATCAGTTATTTTTACAGGAATACAACGAAAAAATTAGAAGAAATTGGGCAATTTATGAAGAATTGTGTTCAATGCTGCATTTGAGGACAAGTAATCTAGAATCAGAGATACATGATTGGCTGGAGGAAATAAAAATCTTCAAATCATGAGTATCGTGAACTGGAAAGAATCTCCGATTAATCAATTTCGTGAAAAAAATAGGGAAAAAATAGAGATTTATTAGGAGATGTCTCTAAATTAAAAATCTAACAAATATAATATCATATTTTATTGTAAAAATATAATCAGATATAAAAAAAAACAAAAAATAAAAAAATTATGGAATATTGGGTTTGAATTTTATATATTTCATTTTTTTATTTTAAAAATTTTTGTTTTTTTTTTTTCATTATAAAAATATAATAAAATATAATCGGAGTAAAAATTAAAAAAACTGTCATTGAAAAATCCATGAAAATAGCGAAATTTACGAAGAATTGTGTTTAATATTGCATTTGAGTACAAGTAATTTAGAATCTGAGATGGACGATTCGCTGGAAGAAGTAAAAATCTTGAAAACATAAATATCATGAACTAGACTAGAGAGAGAATGGACTCCGGTCTCCGCAGCTCGTCATAAATCTTGAAATCCGTTGGATCATCGGGATCGAATTCTACATCCTCTGGTTTTATTTCCTCCTTCGGTTTTCGAATACGAGGAGGAGCAGATGGAGCTCGGCTCAAACACGATTCTACCTTTTCTTTAACATTTCTCTCACTGACCGTACCATCCACCGTGATCGCAGATTCACCTGCATACCGAAGCAGTGATTCGAGATTTGCGAAGTATTCTTTGAGCTTGAAAATAAATAATAGAGTTGATTTAGGGAGAGGGCGAACATGGTTTGATATTCGTGAATATTTTTTGTGGCAGTTGATTTAAAATCAACATTTACAGACATTATTCGATAATTTTGTTAGCGAAATTGAGTATTGAATGAAATTTTAAAATTTTTTCTAGGAAACGATAGATTTTTATTTGGAAATTCAGTCATTTTTGAACGCAATTGCAAATAAAATATCATTTTTTGGAGGAATTTGCAAGTTCACTTTCATAATTATTTAAATGAACAACATTTGATGATATTATTCAATAATTCTGTCACTAAAAATGAACATTGAATGATGTTTTCAATTTTTTTTGGAAACAATAAATTTTTTCCAGAAAAATCAGTGTATTTATTTCATTTTTCTAGAAAAATTAACGAAATTCTACTGCACTATCTTAAAATTGCGAATAGAATGGATTGATTTAAAAGAATTTCCATTGAAAAAAATTTAAAAAACGCTTTAAAGTTCACTAAATGTAATGCCTTAAATTTTGATTAACAAAAATTTCATAATCCTTGAAATGAAACACATTTGATGACATAATTCCAGAATTTTTTCAACAAAATGAAATATCGAATGGAATTTTCAATATTTGTTTTCGAAAACAACAGATTTTTTATGAGAAAAATCAGTCAATTTGTCATTTTTCCAACTAAATTGAAGAAATTCCACTGCCCCGTCCCACAATTGCGAACAGAATTGATATTGATATTTGATTTTGATATTTTTGATTTTTTTATTTTAATATTTTTCTTTATTGATTGATATTTTTCGAGAAATTTCCACGGAAAATAAAAAATAAAAAATGCAGTTTACTAAATGTAATGCCTTACATTCTGATTAACAACAATTTCATAATCCTTGAAATGGACAGCAAGATTCGGATCACTCTGTTCCTCGTCACTCCGACCAGAGTTATGTTCACTCCCAGTAATAACATTAAATCTCCTCGAGAACAACCGCTCCCTGCATGTCGCTTCGTCGACATCAATGCAGATTATTCTGAGAAACAAAGAGAACGATTCGTCAAAATCGTGACATCATCGCTGAATATAAAATATCGCTTCTGATGAACCTGTTTGGAGGTGTAGCTAGTAAGTCGAGGAGTTTAAAGTCCTCAACAGTAATTGGATATCCGAACAATACCCACCCCTTCTTCAAACACTCGGCGCTCATCAGTTTTCTCTGGAACAAAGGGAATATCATTTTTTTTTCATGAGTCATTTGCGTCGGGAGAAAGCGATCTAAAATCGACACTTTGAGTTAAAGAAAAACAACACATTTTTTTCTCTTCCAATTTCCACTGAAATTTTACTAAACATTATTGTAATTTTGCAACATTATCACGTATTCAAAAAATTGCGAGAAGAGTTTTTTTCTCTCGGAGAATTCAGGAATAACAATTATAAAATCTTTATGAATGTTGTCAATTAAAAAATTGTTTTAATTGGAGATTCCAGTTAAAAATTTATAATAGACTTCCGTATTAATTATCTAAATCGTACTAATTATTATCCTTCGATATTTAGCTCAAGATATTGTAGAATTTTGTAAATTCATCTAGAAAAAAAAATTGAATCCGTTTTTTTCAGAAAAAAATTTAATTCTGTTAACAAAATTGGTCATTCGCATCATAAAATCGCAGATAAATTAAAATTATGAATATAAATATTATAATATAAATATTTCTTGAAAAGATCGAGATCAATATCAAGTGTCCCATCCAAAATGTTCAAAATTTCAAATGAAAAAAATCCTATTTCTAAAGTCATTAATTAACTTAAAAATTCATCAACAATTTAATTATTTTTCTCTGAAACAAAGGGAATATAATTTTTTTCATGCGCCATTTGCATCGGGAAAAGTGATCTTAAGTCCTGAATTTTATAAATTCATGTACAAAAAAAAATTGCTGGAAATACGAAATATTCAGTTCTTTCAAAAAAATTGTTGCATTATATCACAAAATTGCAGAAAAAATTTATATTCTTGAACAAATTGAGATCAATATCCAGTATTTCATCCAGAATGTTGGTTCATTTCTCGACAACTCTCAATAAAAACTGTGAAATTTCAAGCAATTTAATATTTAAAATCCTCAATTAAATTCCAAATTCCTAAAAAATATAACAAATTCATTTCCATTAACACCATTTCCATTGACATCTCACCTCAACAATTCTAATTTTAACACCAGAATCAACTCTAATTCCCCAGCGACCGAGACACCTCAACGACTCGCCAACCTTATTATTCTGCATTCTCGCCTGTGCCACTAGATAATCAAAATCAATGCACACAAGATTGTACCTCCGCGCGAGATATTCCGCCACGGATCGACGCCCTGAGCCTCTCGGCCCGACCAGAACTACCCGGAAATTATAACAAGGCGTCGGGTACTTTCTTCTCCTCGCGAGTGTGATACAGGCTCTTCCGAGTTCCTCGTACGTTCTCCCAGCGGTCTCAACCTGCTGTGGAATTATTAATGAATCCATTCAATACCTCTCCGCAATTAATTTTTATCCAACTAATTAATAATTGAATAATTACGATCAGAACGGCGGAGTAGGCCTCGCGCAGGTCGTGGAGATTATGCAAGTCGTTGGGTGTTTTGAGGGGAATTTTATCGTGAGAACTTTGGGTGGATGTTGTCGAGTAGAAGTGGCTGGGGGTGGACTGCGAGGTGGATTCCGATAGAAAGTCCGTCCAGATTATTTCGATTACGTGGGTGGGAATTATCCCGAGGGATTGCAGAGCACGAGCTTCTGATTTCGTTCTTGGGAAGTCTGTTGGGAGTTTATTCAATTTTATTCAACTGAATAAAATGCAGAATTATTGGTTTATTCCGAATGAAATTACATTTAATGATGATAATTATGTACTATTTTGTTATTATCATCACTATTGTAGAAATTTCGCATTTTATGTTGGTCGAAATGTGCATTATACGAATCAGAATAGAATGATAAAATACAATTTTTTTTTTTATTTCGAAAAAATAATACTGAATCATAATATTAATGATTAATTGATTATTGCATTATTATTAGATCAATTATTCGTTATTTATCCTCCATTCTTTATCCCGAAAAAAATCCCTTTCATCATTTTTTATTTCATTTTTCGCGAAATTTCAATGGCCCAGGGCCCAATTTATAATAAATTCCCCTCAAATATTGAAAATCTCGGTAAAGCCAGAATTATTGGTTCATTCCGAATGAAATAGCATTAAATGATGATAATTATGTATTATTTGTTTATTATCATTACTGTTGTATAAATGTCGTATTTGATGTTGATCGAAATGTGGATTATACGAATCAATTTGGAGAAGTGGAGAAGTATGTTGGAATTTATTTAATTTTATTCAACTAAATAAAATGATGAAATGCAAAATAATTTTTTTATATCGAAAAAAATAATACTGACTTATAATATTAATAATTTATTGATCCTCCATTCTCCATTCTTTATCACGAAAAAAAATCCCTTCAACATTTCTTATTTCATTTCTCGCGAAATTTCAATGCCCCGGACTCAATTTATAATAAATGCCCCTCAAGTATTGAAAATCGCGATAAATGCACTCATTAATAAACAAATTTTATTTTATTACCAATAAACAGCCAACCAGACTCTTCAAAATACAATTTCCTCAGGATTTTCCTGACATTCGCAGCAAACTCTTCACTCGAATTGAACGCCTCCACATCATCCAAACCTATCGCTTTTATCCCCAATTTCAGATCGAGATACTCAGCCAACAATTTTTTATCTGCGCAAAGGGATCGAAATAAGATAGTTGGGAATGTAGAATTGATTGACTGACTCACCGAAATCGGGTGGACAGATGAGAATGATCCTCGGTGCATCTCTGCTCCTAGCAGCATGTCGCAAACATTGCTTCACATAAAGAATGTGATCCGATGGCTTTTTAATTATCAATTGCCTCGCAATCTCCTAAAAAACCGAATATATCGAGTCACTAAAAAACTCGTTCCTCGCCTCTTTCCATAGATGGAGAATTCATAAATGTGAAATACAATTTGTCAATTTCTATTGCAATGGATAAAGTGCAGTGGATGGAATTTCTCATGAAACATTATTCATTCTGCCCCACATTATTTTTATCCAGGGTTCTGTTGAAAATGTATAGCTGAATTCAACAATAAGTATTAAATAATAATTATTGATTTTTTTTAAACACTGAATATTCTTATTAAGTCAGAAAATGTGAGATTCTCATCAATTTATGCGATATAATACGACAGTTTTGAATGATTACATCAAGTTGTGGATGAAATTACTCATTTTTCTAAAAAAAAATATTAATTTGCAGATTATTTTATTATTTTTCCACCACATTATTATGAAAATTGTGGAATTTTATAAATCTTTTGAATTAAATTTTTTTTTATTGCCAATTTCAATTAAAAACTTTGTTTTTACAATATTTATGCAATTAAATTGGTTTGCTGTCTACAACTACATCCCCTACTAATTTTTTGTCAAAATTGTGGGTGGGTGTCCGCTGATGAATTTGAACCTCTTTGAATCATTTCATATATTATTACGGATATTCATGCAAATGTACGAGACTTCCCATTCGCCACCTCCCTGCATAAGACAAAATTAGGGGAGGGTGGGGTAAAACGGACACTTTAGACTTTTTTAAAATGATTCATAACTCAGAAACAAATTGATCAATTGAGCTCAATTTAGGCTCGTCACACAGGGAAAGAATTGTTCTTTGTATTGAAAAGAAAATTATTAAATTTTATGAACATTTCAACCCCTCATTAACATTTTTAAAAAAGTCAAAAGTGTCCGTTTTACCCCAAGCTCCCCTATTAATTACTTCATTAAGATATAAAATTAAAATCAAAACTGGGAAAAGGCCTATATATCTGGCCTTCGCAACTGGTATGACCCCCAAAAAGGCCCACATTAAGAAAATTCAAAGATGATATACGAATTTGAAAAATGAATACGAAAATAAATTAATCGGAGATTATAATATTTCTGGCCGCCGTTGCAAACTGAAACCTTAAATTAAATCCAGAAATTCAATTTGAAACCTATTCACGAAAACTCTCTGTATTATTCACCCAAATAACATCAATAATTATCTTTCGATAGAAACATCTCTAATTGCAAAAATGTCTCACGACATTTTTTCCAAGAATTTTTTTTCAACATTTACGTAATTAACAGCAAATTAAATATCGACTTTACACGTCACTCACATAAAACAATTCATAAATCCGATGTTTTTCCATGTAAGGCACAAATTTCGGAGGGATCTTAAGAGGTCTTTTGGTTGCATCCACAGTCCCCAGCATCTTCCACCAAAATCCTCGATTCAAACGTCAAAAAATCCCTCGTTTACTCCCTCGATAAACAGTCCCCCTCGGCCCTTCCACGAGAGTTCGATAACCCCCGCAAGATGGCGACCCGCTGCACTTCCATGCGCTCCCATGCCGCACATTGCATGAGTGCAGGCAACGAGGCTAGAAGTTCCTGAGAGCTGCTGTACCACCTTGGAGCTCGTGGATAAATAATAAAAATGTCAGACAACGACAAAGACATCACAAACGAGATCTCCAACCTGGAGATCGAGGACACAGGCAAGAAGCTGACCCACAAGGAGAAGAAGAAACTCAAGAAGCAGCTGGAGTATGAGAGGACCATGGAGATGATGACCAAGGCTGGGGGACAGGGCCACAGTGAGTTGGAGTCGAATTTCACAGTTTCACAGAGTCAGACACAGACTCGTGGTCAACACACCCTCGACAATGCTGTTGATATCAAGGTCGAGAATTTTAGCATCGCTGCCAAGGGAAAGGAGCTCTTCACAAACGCCAGCTTGCTCATTGCCCAGGGGAGGAGATATGGTCTTGTTGGACCCAATGGGTATGGAGTAGTTTTTTTAGTCCCCATTTAATTTCAGTTTCGTTCTCATTTATTTTGTGAAGATCCAACACCACAAAAATAATTACAAGGGCAAATTTTTTGTTGTAAAAAACTGAATTTTCAATTCATAATTTATATCTCATTATAAATTTACTGTTTTTTATTCATTTATAATCCATAATTTATAATTCATTATGTTTTTTAAAACAAAATATGATTGAATTTATAATTTAGTTATAATTTGCTTAATTATAATAATAATTCAATTATATTTAAAGATTTGAAGAGCCAACAGCACAAAAATAATTACAAGGACAAATTTTTTGTTGTAAAAAACAATGAATTTTTAATTCATAATTTATAATTCATTCTAAATTCACTGTTTTCTATGAATTTATAATTCAGTTATAATTTGTTTAATTATAATCATAATTCAATTATATTTATTTATATTTTATTCATTTAATTATCACATGTAAAGTAAAGTTTCAATTATCATCTAGAAAGCAAGACAACAATTTTATTGTAGTTTTACTACAATTAAATCTTTGGAGGATTCCATTCGATAACGATGGACGATATTGGGGTTCTATTTTACGACAGTTTCCTTCTAGTTTAGCTCCAGTGAAACTTTCTCTTCCAACTACTTTCTACAGTTTGATATCTTTTTGTAATTTTTAGCGGAAAATTTTTTTGTATTTTAATTTAATGGTGAATACATCAGTGAGGTGGAGATTATGTTTCTTCAGGCTTTGAAATGAGGATTAATTCATTAAATTCAAAATAAATAAGCCACGTAAATTATTTTTGACAACCCCCTTAATTAATTACTGCCTTTCATTCAGCCATTTGATCTCTTTTCCCTCCAATACCAGTGGAAAGTAAAGCATAAAAAAATTAACGAAATCATGAGGATCTAATGGGAATGGATTGCTTAAAATAAGATTTAGGAAAACGAATAACTTCTAATCGACCCCACCAATTTCCATTCCAGGCACGGAAAAACCACACTACTCCGACACATAGAGAAAAGAGCCTTCAACATCCCCCCAAGCATCGACATTCTGTACTGCGAGCAGGAGGTGGTAGCCGACAACACCCCAGCAGTGGAAGTAGTCCTGAAAGCGGACGTGAAATGCGTAGCCCTCCAGGAAAAATGTAAAAAATTGGAGGAAGAATCTGAGAAGTCGAGTAACGACGAGATCCAGGCGCAGCTGCAGGAAGTTTACGAGGAGCTGAAGGCAATCGGTGCTGATTCTGCTGAGCCAAGAGCCCGAAGAATCCTGGCTGGTTTGGGATTCAGCAGATCAATGCAGAATCGTGCCACCAAGAATTTCTCCGGTGGTTGGAGGATGAGAGTCTCACTAGCCAGGGCTCTCTTCCTGGAGCCAACTCTCCTTCTCCTCGACGAGCCGACGAACCACTTGGACCTGAACGCTGTCATCTGGCTGGACAACTACCTCCAGGGCTGGAAGAAGACCCTGCTGATAGTCTCCCACGACCAGAGCTTCCTGGACAACGTCTGCACTGACATCATCCACTTAGACATGCAGAAGCTGTTCTATTACAAGGGGAACTACAGCATGTTCAAGAAGATGTTCGAGCAGAAGAGAAAGGAGATGATAAAGGCTTACGAGAAGCAGGAGAAGAGGATAAAGGATCTGAAGGCCTCGGGACAGAGCAAAAAGGCCGCTGAGAAGAAGCAGAAAGAAGCCCTGACGAGAAAACAAGAGAAAAATCGCACGAAAATGCAGAAAACTGAGGAGGACACTGGACCCCAGGAGCTGCTTCAAAAACCCAGGGAGTACATCGTGAAATTCAGCTTCCCAGACCCACCACCTCTGCAACCTCCGATCCTTGGGATCCACAGTATGAATTTCATGATTCAATTTTGATGAATTTGGATTTTCAGAGGAGAATAATTTTTTTGGGTTTGTTTTTTAGATGTGACGTTTGCGTACGAGGGTCAGAAGCCCCTGTTCATTGACGTAGATTTTGGAATTGACTTGAGCTCACGTGTCGCTATTGTTGGACCTAATGGGGTGGGAAAGTCGACGTTTTTGAAGCTTCTTCTCGGGGAGTTGACTCCGTTGAAAGGGGATTTGATTAGAAATCATCGGTTGGTACGTAAATATGTGTGGAATGCAGTTGTTTTCGGTATTTTCTGTTTTTAGTCGAGTTAAGTCGCCCAAAGTCTTCAATTATTTTCTTTGTTGGGTTAATTTAACGCAGTTTTTCGGTTTTATTTAAAAATTAGAATGATGTTGACATTATTGGTTATTGAGACAGAGGGAAGTTAATTGAGTGGACAAATAAAATGATTGACAAGTGAATTTTTCTTTAATTAAAGTGTTAATGTTATTGAGGATTATTTTGTGATTCTGTTTTGCAATTGAAATTGACAAATTTTTTGACTGGAGATGGTGAATAATAAGATAAACTTATAATTTTAATTAAATTCATAATTATTAAATGTACTATTCAGTCAATTCAATTTATTCATTTGATTTCAATTTAAAAAGTCCTGCGAATTTACTAATTGATATTTATTGAGTAGAAATGGGGTCAAAATAAGAATATAAAAATTCAAAATCAGCTTCACCATTATTTTTATAATGCGAATTCATGAAAAACTCGAAAATAATTTAGTTGATTCTAAATAATTTTTTGACATTAATTTCGATGACTTCTCCCAATCAATGACTTTCCTCCCAGAGAATTGGTTCAATTGAAATTGAGGACAAATTTACTAACTCCGAATAGTAAATATTTGCATTATAACCTCATTATTTGAATTCAATTCAAAATTATTAAATGTATTGTTCAGTCAATTCATTGAACTTATTAATCCCATTTGATTCCAAAAAACATGAATTAAATAACATCCTGAACATGAATTAAATAACATTTATGGAATTAATTAATTAATGTGACGATTTAAAAAAAAATTGTGACATTATCAATTAATTTTCAGAGAATTGGAAGATTTGATCAGCACTCAGGTGAGCATTTGACCGCGGAGGAAACTCCCTCCGAGTATCTGATGCGTCTCTTCGACCTGCCATACGAAAAAGCACGGAAGCAACTCGGCACATTTGGTTTGAGTTCCCACGCGCACACGATTAAGATGAAGGACTTGTCTGGTGGACAGAAGGCTCGTGTAGCCCTGGCTGAGTTGTGTCTGAATGCGCCAGACGTCGTTATTCTCGACGAGCCGACGAATAACCTTGATATCGAGTCCATCGATGCCCTCGCAGAGGCGATTAATGCGTACAAGGGAGGAGTTATCATCGTCTCCCACGACGAGAGACTCATCAGGGACACTGAGTGCTGTCTGTACGTCATCGAGAACCAAGTGATCAACGAAATCGATGGGGACTTCGACGACTACAGGAAAGAACTGCTCGAGAGCCTCGGGGAGGTCATCAACAATCCCAGTATTGCTGCCAATGCTGCGGTCCTTCAATGACCGGTTGTGATGGATTTCTAGTGATTGGAATTTAATTGAAGGGCAGTTGTGAGAGGAATTGGGGAAATGGAATTTTTTGTACAATCAGGAATGTTGGAATTTTATCAGAATGCATTTATGTCGGGACGTTTGAGATTTCTTCGATTGAGGGAATGCTCATTAAACCAGTTTATATTGAACATTTCGATTTTTTAATTTCAAGTATTTAGATCCCATTTGGTTTAAATTACAACTAACTGAGATTGATTTATTTGATCAAGGGGAACTGACAGTTGTCGAAATGAGGATGGAAATTCTGACTAGGTATTTTTTAGAATTTTTTTAGGTTTAATTTCATGATTTTTTACCATTTTTTTTTTGAGAAAAATCGTCTCAAGGAAACTCGATGATCTGACAGGCAAAAAAACTGACAACAAAAAGAGGAAACAGGACCGTTTTTTTCTAATAGAGAGGGGATGAGTCATGGGAGTATTACGATTCGTTCGTGCAGGTGCCATCAACAGTGTTTCATAACTCCGTCTGAAAGATCTGGCCTGTGAGGAGTTAAAATTTTGTGGAGGTTTTACCAAAAAATATTGCTGATGCTGCGTAGTAATTGAAGGAGCAGGAAATTCTGAGTTTTCAGTAAGTGATATTAAAAATTCCTTTGGACATTTTTGAGGGGAAGAACGAATGCACATTCAACGTCATATTTTTGAGAATAAGAATGCACGATTAAATCTCAAAATCTCAATTTTGATTTAAAAAATAATGTTATTCTGAGAATGGACTAAACATTTTTTTGTCAATGAAAATCTGCTGACTGTGTGGTATATAAAGAGATCGCGGCATCGCGAAATTTTCTTAAATTGTTGACAATTACTGGGAAAATCCCCGTTCAAAAAAAATGGGGTATTATGACTACGATTAGACTAAAACATGAAAATTATCGAAAGGAAGAATTAATCCCATTCATTACTGAATAAAAAATCAAAAATTAAAAATTCTCCATTAAACACAAAAATTCCGAAACCAAATTCTCACCTCCAGATTTTTTTTTCCTATGATCAATCCAACATTTCCAGAAATTTTGAAATCATTTGAAGATTTATCATTAACTTAATTAGTGAAATAATAAATAAAATTAAACTAAACTAAACCAAACTAAATTAAACTAAACTAAGCTAAACTAAATAAAAATAAACCAAAAAAATTCCAATTAAATAAAAACAATGCATTTATTTTCTAATTTACCTAAAAACTCCCACAAATCCCCAAAACTCTCACGTCTCACCCCTCTAAAAAAAATGCCCCACACCATTAAAACCGTAATGTTACACCCATATTCGGCTGCTGGCTCGTTCCCAAGTGAAACTCGCCGATCGGCTGACACCTCTCGTTGGCCTCGACGATTCCGATTTCGAAATAATTTTTTCTTTTTCCTAGAAAAACATTTTGTCAATCCGTCGCACCAGTGGCTGCTCTTTCGTATCGAAAAAAATTCCAAAGTGAGACAGAGCGATTTCATGCATGTGTGGATTGCGTGGCTAGACTCGACGTGCGCGAAATAAATCGGCGCAGAGCCCCCCCCCCCTAACCAATTGGCGCTGCTGTTGCCCACAAAGTTTTTTTTCTCTTTCTACCACTTGACTTCTTGTAGTTGGCATTGCTCATTAGTATGTGTGACATGTATACGTGTATGTGTGCATTATACTGCTGCCAAAAAGGGCACAGACTGGGGAGCACCAGAGACAACAGGAGTGATGTGAAAATATATTTGAAAAATAATTTATTACCCTGTAAAAAACGATAAACAAACACAATAACATTTAATTGGTGATTTATAGTCTCGTCGTCCTGTTGTTATTGATCATTTATTTATTGTTTCACTCATTGAATTGAATTTCAATGAAATATTAGTGGTTTAAATAGTGGGGAAACGTGAGATTGTGAAAAACAACAATGTCGAGTGCACTGGAGAACAAGATACTGAATTTGCAGGAACGTCTGAGGGCGGAGAAGGAATCGATGGAAAGGGATAGACAGATTAATGATGTTCCCTCAGGCAATATCAACCAAGTGCAATCGTCATCGTCAGCTACAATGTCGAGTCCTATTGTACGGAGGCCACAGAGACGTGAGTATTCTGGATTTAACCGAGAATTACAAGTTTTGAGAGCTCCTGGGGATGATTTTGAGGGGGAGAATGTGGGGGATGGTGGCAGACAGGTTATGTTGACTTTCGGGTGATATTCGACCCCTGGGGGAGGAGTTTGTTCAACAATTTATCTTGCTCCAATTGCGGTTTTATAAACAATGATAGGAATGTGGAAATATTTTAGAGTGAAACACACCGTCTTCTATTGCGAATAACTCGAGAGTGGCGGAGTGAATTCCCACGAATTTTCCCTCATTTTGAAGGTATTTTTGCGGACTTTAAAATGAGCCTTGACTCGTCCGAATCGTGCCATTTCGTCCGGAGATATTGACGATTCAGTAGTCATGCTTTCACCAGTTTTTATCAATTTCGAGGTTTATCATTCTTTTTCAATTTACAAAAACTCGAGATTGGCAGAGTGAATTTTCCCAAATTCTCTTTCATTTTAAGGGTATTTTTTCACATTTCAAAATGAGTCCTGATTCGTTCAAATCGCATCATTCCATCAGGAGATATTGTCGATTGATGATGGTGCATTTCACTTGGAAGTTTATTCCAAGTTTCATCAAGTGGTTGTATTTAATTATTTCTATTTTATCTGGTACCAGTTGGTGACATGGGCACGCCAACACGACCAAGGAGACAGTTGGATCTGCCAGTATCGCAGATGTTGCCGCCAAAGTCACACGACAGCGAGGTAGAATCTAAACTGCAGGAGATCATGAAGATGAATGGCATTCTGAATATAAATGGCACGAAGTATCAGACGGAAATGAAGGACTTGGAGCATCTGGGTGAACTTGGCAATGGCACGTGTGGTCATGTTGTCAAGATGAGACACAAACCCAGTGGCGTTGTCATTGCTGTCAAACAGATGAGACGGTCTGGCAATGCTGAGGAGAACAAGAGGATAATCATGGATCTCGATGTTGTACTCAAGTCACACGATTGTCCGTACATTGTACAGTGCCTAGGCTGTTTTATTACTGAGTCTGATGTTTGGATTTGCATGGAACTCATGGCGACGTGCTTGGATAAACTGCTGAAGAGGCTGAGGCAAGCTATACCGGAGGATTTTTTAGGAAAAGTTACTGTAGCTACTGTGAAGGCACTCTCGTACCTGAAGGAGAAACATGGAGTTATTCATAGGGATGTTAAACCTAGTAATATTCTTCTTGATGAGATGGGGGGAGTCAAATTGTGCGATTTCGGCATTTCTGGGAGGCTCGTCGACAGCAAGGCGAAGACTAGGAGTGCTGGGTGTGCTGCGTATATGGCGGTGAATATTTCATTTTTTGGGGGAATTTTTACCCAGGGTATTTCGACACTTATCATTTTTTTTTCATCGTTAAAGTCTTAATGCTTCAAGTTTTACGGTTCATGACACATTTTGCAGTGATTTAAAATTTTTTAACTCTTAATTAACTATTTTAAAGCCTTGGAAAAATTTGTTAAGATAAACAAATGAAGAATACATTTTCTACTTGATTGAGGTTCAATTTCAATTAATTATTTCAAATGTAGAGACTTTTATAGTTGGATGGTTCCAAACAATGATTTTAGGGAGGTGAGAGTTTAATTTTCTTCATAATTATGAATGAAACTTTTTGGAAATTTTTGCAAAATTTCAATTCCACTGGAATTTCAGTTGAATTATTCCATGAAAATCAACGGAAATGAGGAGAAATAAAATGAATATATTCTTGAACGTATTATTAATTGAAAATTTTAATAAGTTCAGAAATTCTCGTATACCTGTTGCTAAAAAATTTAAAATTTCATTGAATTTCCATTAAACTTTGTAATTTCATAATTTTTAAAATTTCAATTTCCTCCCACCAGTGTGTTATTAAATTTGATTAACCCCCCACCACTCGTGAGAGCTTTCAAAAGTGTCCCTGCACCTCAATAACAAAATTTGCGACCTAGTTAATCCACTCACCTAGAATTAAATTAATTCGATGACTGCATTATTTTTAGCCCGAAAGGATAGACCCACCAGACCCAACGAAACCAGATTATGATATAAGAGCAGACGTGTGGAGCTTGGGTATAACTCTCGTGGAATTGGCGACTGGAGTTTTTCCCTATCGAGACTGCAAGACTGATTTTGAGGTGAAAAAAAAATCCCACAACACCAAAAATGACATTCACAATATTTTCGTCATTTCTTTAACTGTTAAATTTATTTCAACAGGTTTTAAGCAGGGTAGTACAAGATGATCCACCTGTCTTACCTCCGGACGCTCACTTTTCGAAGGAATTTCGAGCATTCGTTAACTCGTGTCTAACGAAAAATTACAAACATCGGCCTAAGTATCCCAAACTCATAGAGCACCCATTCATCAAGAAATATGATACTCATCCAGGGGAGAATGCCAATGGCTCCTTATCGATGTCTGGTTGCCAGTGGTTCGACAGAGTCATGCGACAGCTCGAGCCAAGGTGAGTCTCCCAAACAATTTCATCCGATGTACCACATCATTTGGTAAAGTCTGTTCCTGCATTTGCCCAAGATTTATTAGTCTCGACTAGTGACATTTAGTTAGTCGTCATGTATCAGTGAGGATACATTCATCATCTCTGAGTATAGAACTATTTTTTTATTTAATTCGGCATGAGATTCCCAACTAATAAAGTAATTATTTGATATTTTGGTTTGGTAAAGCGTAACCAGGTGTCCGCAGGGGACCCAGAGAGCATTCGAATAAGTCATTATGAAGGTTTTTTATATTTTTATTCAGTAGATGCCAGTCGCAGAATTTATGTCGTAAACTTCGAGTTATGGGGGGGCTGTTAGGACCATCATCACGATCATCATGAAGTGTCAGAGCTGGGGGAAGGGCTATTTTCATTACTGTTTAGAATATTCTTGAGTTGTCATTTTCTGGAGAGTGATATTGAATTAGGTTTAGGGAAAAAACATGAAATTACCAATTTCATTGAAAATTCAGTGGAATTTCTGATTTTTTAGGAGCAGGAACAGGAAAATTTTAATTATTTTGAATTCAAGAATTTATTGATCTCAATTCTCCTGAATTCTATTAGGTTTTAGGGAATAATTGAACTGGAGTTTACAGTTTCAATTAATTTTCTCATAAAATTTTGGATTTTTGATGGAAACATTCCTTGAAATTTCGATGGAACTATAATGTGATAAAAAAAACAGACTGTTAGAAAAAAAATCAAGACTGTGTCCATGTAATTTTCATGAAATAATTGAAAAGAAATTTATGATTTCCATTCGTTTCACCAAAAAAATTCGAATTTTCAATAACAAAATTCCTTGAAATTTTAATAACACTTTAAATGTCAATCAAAAATTTATAACTGTGCACGGAATAATCACATCGTAAATAAATTGGTATTTAATTAATTCAAACTAAATGAATACTAGTTTTCATAATTCATTGAATTTCTTTGAAATTTCCTTCTATTTTCCAAAATATTTCTGTTACTGAGACCTGCATTCGCTAATGGATTAAAAAAATACTTCGCTGAGTCGAAGAAAAATCTTACTTCTTGTACAGCCAAACCAAAGAAACAGTGGACACCATTTCATCTCAATTTCAGAAAGAAAGAAATCAACAATTTAGTCCTCAGCTGAGTTTTCGTACAATATCTCCGAATCCAAGGGAGATAGCAAAATTCTTGTAATAACTTCTTTTATACCCCTCATTTCGCTCTACAAAAAAGGTCATGACAAAAATTTCGCTATCTCCCTTCAATTTCCAGATATTCCCTGAAAACTGGCCACTAGTCAAAATTGACTTGAACCGTTTTACCGCTTCGCTACTGATTTCAAACAGTATCTCCACTCAATTCCCTTGAAATTCCCCAGCTCTGCAAAAAATTAATAATAAAAAATGTTTATTTCAAATGTCCACCAAGATGAATCCACTTGACGCCCCGATTTAAACGTTTGCGTGCGTGTTGAATTGTGTTGCAGCGTTGAGCATGAGGGAGGCAGTGCAGCGTAGCCACCCCACATACTCCCTCGCCCCTGACCACACAAAAAACACCCTCCAAGACGTCCCTCACGATAAAAAATCCAACTATAAAAACCCATAAAAGGAAAAAAATCTATAAAAAAGAAAATAAACCAAAAAAAACACAAATACACACGAAAGCCCCAAAAAGTCTGCCCGATTTTCATTTCGAGTTGTTTGGTTTGTGCACGTGCCTGTTACACATCCCACCCTTCGACCCCCCACTCATGGTAAGCATTCTTTTTTATTTATTTACAAAATCGTCATTATTATCGTAGTGTCGTTTATTTGTCTGTGTTAGATCATGCTTATGCATTTACATTCGCACACATTGAGAATTATCCTGCGCCTCTGTCTCTCCCTATTGCATGTCTTAAGAGAATAAAAAATGAAAACGTGTAAATGTACTAACTCTCTAACTTCCATTAACCCCTCTTAAAGCCCAGGATTCACGCAGGTTTCATCAGAGTTTACATGGATTCTGTCCTCAGTGTCTTCATGAAGGAGTTGTGAACTCAGAGAAATGATCTACTTGGATTAAATAAACTTTATTTGACTTATATGAATTTTTATTCTCATGAAATCAATACTTTGTTAAATGTAAGCTTTTTTTACTTATTTTGACTATTTTTTCTCCAGTGAAATCTTTTTTATTTATTTATTTTATTGGTGTAACAGTCACACAGCCGAGGCCAATTACATGACTTGAGGTTCTTCTACTTTTGTAGTCGAACATCAGAGCTTTTATTCTATTTTTTTATTATTATTTAAACTTTGTAGCTCTGAATTTTAATCTCAATATTGAACCGTTGAAAAGAGTTTTAAAAATCGGAAAAAAATTAGAAAGCTTTTGGTAGAACATTAATGAAATGATTTAAAAATTGCAATTGCAATTTTCTATAAATAATTTATAACCGCGACAATTTCAATTATTTATTTATAAACAAGGAATGTTTAAAAAATAATAATTATGTGCAAAATGCAATTCTAACGACGCTGAATTTTCATTTTTATTTTATTTTTTCAAATTTTTCTCGGGCAATTGAATTGAAAAATTTGATGATTGAAAAGCTTGAAGATCTATTTATTTCATTAAAGTTAAATATGAAGACATGATGAAAATGAATAAAATAAAAATGTCAAATAAAGTTTCAGCCGATTCCAGAAGCTTAATTTCTCTGGGTAAAACCCACGAACAATAGTGGACCATTTGTATTCAGTTTCAGATCAACTGGAAGTGAGCCACAGCGTGCGGGCCATGTGTCGTTGAAGACAACAGCCCACATGAGGAATCAATCAGAGACAGCAGGATCATTGAAAGCCAAGATAACCAAAGAGCCAGTCATTTCAACAGTAACGTACAATCAACGAGCCACTGACAATGGCACTTATGTTCCATACAGTCCTTATGCACTTAGACGTAGGGAAATGATAACGAGGCCTTTTTCACCACCAATCAGTGGTGAACACGAGAGATCTTTCTCACCTTATCGACAGATCGAGCAGAATCGTTGCTCAAATGGACAGAGTTTGTCGGAGTCGAGACCTTATTCGCCTTATTTTGGACGGTATGAGGAGGGAAATGATCGGTGGGGGAGTGCCCCTAGATCGTTGAGCCCATTCACGAGGGATTATTCACCGTGGAGACGGGAGAATGTCGATCCACCTGGGGTTGTACAGCCTTTGGAGACGGGGAGGTATTCACCGTTTGTACAATCGAGACAGTATCATCCGCCACCTCAGACACATCCACCTGCACATGAAATTTATGCTAGTCCTATGATTAGTCGGAAGAGGTAATTATTTTTAGAATGGCTTATTTCAGGGGTTTAAACTTCCTCTTTTCTTTTTTTCAGTTTAGGACGTAAGGTTAAGTGTGTTAAGGATTTTTTTTATTGGATGCTGTTTGAAAAGTTTTAGCTTCAATTGTTTTAATAATTTTTTATTTGAGATTAGATACTGTTTCAAAAGTTTTAACTCTAATTTCAAGTAGTTTCGGCATTGAAATTCTATGGAAAAATCTATTAAAACTGTGAATTTCAGTCCAATTATTCTTGAAAATGAGTGGAAATCAGGAAAATTCTGGTTAATATATTCCTGAAACTTCGATCAATTGAAAATTCAGTGTAAATAAGTAGTGAATATTTATGTGTTGATTAAAAAGTCAAAAAAGTGTGGGAATTCTCGGCTTTTTACTGAATTTTTTTATTTGAAATTTCGTAATTCTTTTCTTCTAGAATAGAATTCAATGTCACTCTCCGTAAAATTTCTAGCCAACTATCCAAAAAACTGTCTTAAATTTTATTTTAAAATCATTAATCATCCAATTAAACGAATTAACTTGTTGAAGAATTAAATCGAAAAATTTAGCCACTGCGATAATTAATGATGATGTCATTCCACTTTACAAGTAATTCTTTCAATGACGAAATTGTCTTTGGAGTTGAATTTATCTCTTCTTAATCATTTCCAACTGCTGTAATTATCATTAAAATTCTTCATATTTCGAAGCATGTTTAGAGTTTCCCAGAAAATAAGTTGGATATTCTCCATAATAAATTCCAAACATGAAGATTTATTCCATAAAATTTTGAGGATCGCAATATACGGCTGCCACAACTCCTCTTTTTAAACTCCAAATTGAAATTCATGGCTGTTTCATGTTGAAGGTTTCCCTCGGAGCCTCCGCCGCCTGGCTCCCACGGGAACACGAGTCCCCAACTATTTATTTCTCGTTTCTCAAATCACACGAAACAAGAAAATAATACAACAGTTGCCTCGCAAACAACACCACCGCCCTCTAAGGAATCGGCGAAAAAGAGATTTGCATCGTATGTCAGGTTGAGACTGGGGGGAGATCGTTCAGCGTCACCAGAGCCACCACCCAGACTCAGTCGTGGGGAATCACCTCTTGCTGTGCGAAGAAATTTGCCTGAACAGGCTTCACCTTCATTCTCAAGAAGGTAATATGCTAAAAAAAAACTATAATAAAAAAAATCCATTCAATTTATGGTCTTATGTTTTCTAACATCATTTTAAAAAATGAGATCCATCTTTGGAAATATTCTAATCACGAATAAGTTATTCTGAAATGAAAAAAAAATCATGTTTAGAGTGAAAACTTCATTATTTATCAACCGTTCATTCAAAACCATTTGAATTTATAATTATTGAAATTAAATAATGGATTTTTTATGGGAAATTTCAAGTTTTTCTGGACGAAATTCTAGTCAACCGATTTTTTTTATTTTCCAGGATTTTTTGTAATCAAATCCATCTCTGGGGATATTTTAAACATTTAATAAATTTATTATGAACTTCAGGTGATGATTTTCAACGTAGAAGCTCTATTATTTATTAATAACCCATTCAGAATCATCTCAGTTTCGAAGAATAGAACCTAAATGGACGAATTTTTAATTGAAAAAATTCAATTCTGAACCCAAAAAAAATTATTATAAATTTAAAAAATGAAGTTTAGGGTAAAAACTTCATTATTCATTAATAATTTACGCAAAAACGTTTTGAGTTACAAATCAGAAATTTTTCTGATGATTTTATCAACAAAATAAATTTGTTGAGGTACTTGAAATTACTGAGAAATGATGTTATTTCAGGTACATTTCTCCCTCACCGCCCCAGCCACCGCCTCGTCGTCTCTCAGAAAGTATTTCAGTGCCAGGGAGTCCCCAGTACCTTCGTGCTCGACTTCTCTACACCCCCGAGCCCCAAAGAAAGCTACCGCCCCCATAACCCACCGTTATCATCACCAATCAACAATCAATTTTGGTGCCATGCTTTACCAACGCTCCTGAGACTCTAGGTAAATACACGGATTACGATAATGAAGATCCAAAGATGAGCTTCACATGTGGCGCACTACTCTGCAGTGCAAAACCAAAAAAACGTAGCACAAAAAACGATCAGTGGTTCACTTGGAGGACCGTTCGTGATAGTAGAAATTTTTTGCACGTGTAGGTTAAACGAATTGTGAGAGCTAGTGGGGAGATTGATGAGGTGAGAATTCAGCGGTGAAGGGGAAAATGAGGAATTCGGGGAGAAAATGTCATGAAAGTTCCGGCAAAAAACAGCTCTTGACATTTTTCTCGGAGACTTCCTATTCTCGAGGTAATTAGCGTAATTAACAAGATTTAAAATAGCGAATTCCTAGAAGAATTCGATTTGACATTTTTGTTAATACAAATTTTGTATGGAAACATTTATGAGCTTTAAGAGAAATCTGGTGATTTTCTCTTGAATTATCGAGACAATCTTGCAATTAAGAAGTGGAAAATCAGCTCATTAATATTTTTGTTCACTATAAAATATTTCTGTAGCTAATGAAATTCCCAAAAAATATATCTTCACATTTTCCGCTGAGACTTCTTATTCTCGAGATAATCAGCGTAATTAACAAGATTTAAAATATCAATTTCTTTGAAGAATTAAATTTGACACTTTTTCTAGTAAATTTAAATGAAGTCTGAAGTGTCGGAAAATTTTTGTATTGAAAATGTCATGAGCTCCAAGAAGAATGTTGTGATTTTCCCCTGAATTATAGAGAATAAGCTCGCAATTAAGAAGTGAAAGATCAACTCATCGTAACTTTTGTCTGAGACAAAATATTTTTTCATTTTTCCTAATAAAATCAAATTTAACATTTTTGTTAATACAAATTTTGTATTGACACATTTTCGAGCTTCAAGAAAAATCTGATGATTTCCTCTTGAATTATCGAGACAATCTTGTAATTAAGAAGTGAAAAATCAGCTCGTTGACACTTTTATTTACAAAATATTTATGTAGCCAATGAAATTCTCATCAAAAACTCTCTCTACATTTTTAATTCAAATAATTCTTATTTTCCCTCTTGACTGCTGAATGACAAAAACTCACAGGCCTTTTTGCAAACATTAAATCTGATGAAGAAAATTTTATCGTTATGTAAGCCTCTTGTATTAATGTGTATTTGTATAAAACGCAATACCATGCTCAACTTTTTATATCGCTTGTGAAGAGAAAAAAGTACTCAACGAAAATGGGGAAAAAAAAAGATTATTGTCAAGTTTGAGAGGAGTTTGTGTGGCATTTTTGTGAGAAGGTGAACGATTGAATCAGGATGAATGTTCCTACGACTGTTCAATCACGTATTTCGTCTAGAATGAATATTGCCCATTGTATTGCTACTTTTCTATCCGAGGAAATCGAGTATCTGCGGCTATTGAGTCTTTCTCTCAGACTGGAAATCGAAGAGTCCAAAATCTCTCTGGTGAATGCTCCGTATTCACGAGGAAAAATTGCGGGAGGGTTTTCTGCAACCTATACTAGACGTATTTAGACATAAATTTTTTGTACGCCGAGCGATAAAGGTTCGCCCTGAATCCTCCAACCCAATTCCATTCGCGAAAATTGTTGGGAATGACGGTTGGAGATGAATGCACAAGCCTTTGGGGGCACTAAGTAATCGAACAAAAAGAGTCTTTGCATCCTAAAGATATCGATTGTAAATTATTTGATTGAGAGGGAGAGATCGTTGTAATTATTAATTCTAATGACTACTTCATTCATTGAAACACGTTCAAAGAAATAACAGACACGCGCATGATTTATGTAAGAAACAACATCGAGAGTGAAGTGAGAGGAAACACGAGCAATAACTTTCGTCGCTTATTTAACAGAAGGATCTGTTGTATTGTAAATAAACTTATATTTATACGGATGAACGATTCATTTTGTTTTTCAAGTCCCTTGTTACTGTTAAAGTCCGATTTTGGGAAGAAATGATGAAATCATAAAATTTTATATTTCAATAAAAATTTATTGAAATAGCCCATTTTTATAGGAGCAGGTGGACAAAAATTACTTAAATTTTCAATCAAAATATAAATATTTTGAACGAAATTCTACTGAATTAGCAATTAAGGATATCCAAGCACTTTGGGCATTTTTTCTAAAGTGAATTGCTTTTCTATTTTTGTATTCGCACATGAGAGCTTTCATTTGAGCCTCATTTGACCCCATTTCAACTGTTAGAAAACATTTTAAAAATCTGAAAAAAATGAGAAACTTCACTTTTGGAGGAAGATTGATGATATCTTAGTTAAAGATGCTTGGATATTCTTAATTGAGAATGTTCACCTGAATTTTTCTGGTTTCTATCAATTTTCAGGGAATAATTGAGCTGAAATTCAGTTTTCATTGATTTTCCCATGAAATTTCGGATTTTTATCACGTAATTCCTAGGAATTTCAGTAGAACTATAATAAGATAGGAGTCTCCAAGAAAATGTTCCGGAATTTCAGACGAAAATTGTTAACAGAATGGTTTGACTTAAAGGGAAGCCCTCACCGAAGGTTTCAATAGCGAAATATTTCCCATGTAGTTTTCTTCTGTGATGGACCGAAGGTAAGAATTTATTTAGGCAGAAAAGCAGTTATAGTTCTTCGATAGTCTCAATTGAAGTATAAGCGACTCAAAGAGCTAGTTATTGATGTTTCATTGTTGTAAGTATGAAAAAAGCTCAATTTTTGACTTGAATTTCCAGATAAAGAAGAACTTTTTCTTGTAATGAATATTTGAACGATTCTTTCCTTTATTCGATACTTTTGTGATTGGAAATTCCAGTTGTGTACTTAAATTTTTCGGGTTTGTTATACAGATTGAGATAAATATCAATAATTCAAAAAATTCTACTTTTTCAATCTGAACTTATTCGGTTTGTTCCATAAATTGTGTGAAATTCCTTCAATAACAATCTTCTACAGTTCGAAGTATTGTTTTTAACGCTACAAAAAATGTTATTCGTGTTATTCCCAGAATTTCAACGATTAGAACTAACCGTTACGAGACAGAAATCGAAAAGAGTAAGAATACAAAAAATTGTCTGCACTTTTAATTCAAAAAGTCGACTTCCAACAGTTTCAAGAGTCCGGCTCAGCATTCAACTAAAAAATTCTTCCTTTTGTGATCTAAACCCCCTCAAATGTCCCACGCACGAAAAAAAATAAGAAAAAAACCTAGGGAGTTCCCTGGACAATTCTATTGGATTTCTATTGAATTCTCTGAAATATTCTGTAGAAAAAGAATAGAATTCGATTTTTCTATACAATTTATTCTATTGAGATATTCTTTATAGAATTTCATAAGCTGACATTTTCTAAGTTTTTTCATTCTATTTTCTTTTCTTTTCGTCAAGAAAATCAAGCAAAAAAAATTGGAAAATTTGAGCCGAGGAAACTTATTCTATTGAGATATTTTCTATATCTCAATAGAAATATCTTAATATCTTAATAAAAGTTTAATAAAATTGTCTAGTGAATTACTAGGTTTTTCTACTAAATTTTTTCTTCTAAAAATTAATTCACACTTGGAAAAATTCTTCTGCCGCACCTAGAAAAATTGTCATGCTATACCAGAAAAATTATCGTTCAGCGCCGGGAACATGATTGAGGGCATCATAATTTTTCTGGCGCCGCACGATAATTCTTCGGCTGTTACCCAATAATTTCCCCTTTTCCAAGTCACGTATGAAACAATTCAATAGAAAATCTAGCGAATTCGCTAGCAAATTCTATTGGAATTCTATTTGTTTTTGCACTGATTCTATTGGATATTCGATAAGAGTTAATAGATTTCGAATTTCTCTTTAAATTTTTCTCTGGACATCTTTTCTACAAAAATTCTTGGGTATCAATTTTCCAAGTTTTTTCCACTCTCATTCTACAATGCAAAACCCCCAAAATCCAGCGGAAAAACTCAGAATATTTTGTGCCCAATGATTCTAACACAAAAAATTTAAGAGAAAAATTCAAACAGAAATTCTAAATCTATTGACTTTTTCGCATTAAATATCCAAAATAGAATCCCCGCAAAAACCGACCAGAATTTGTCAATAGAATTCCAACAGAAATCCTGTAGAACCCCCACAGAATTCCCCTAGAATTCCCACAGACTTTTCTAGCGAATTCGCTAGTTTTTCTATCCAATTTTTTCACGCGTGGTGTGCGGATTGTGACTAGTTTATAATACACGCGAATTAGCACACGAATTGTTCTAGAAAATCTTCCTCCGCGCATCAACTCCCGAACCCTTTCCAAAACAAAAACCGACCCCAGGAGATCCTCCACGTAGGAAAAAATTGTATAGAAATCTTCTATACGGATATTTTTTAGACAAATTATTTCTCTACGATATCTACAGGTTTGATTATATACGATCCATTGCCACATGTATAGAAACATTTCGTATGGAGTTGCAACATCTTTCTACGTTTTTCTCTGGAGTGTTTAGACATCTTTCGTAGGAAAACAAAAATTCATGAAAAAATTTATGGAGATAAATAATTCGTATAGAAAATATTCGTATAGAAATATCCGAATATCATATATGGAAATCCTATAGAATTTCTATCCGCAATTCGTATAGAAAATTCCCATAGGATTTTTTCATACGTGTCCCCAGGAAGCCCACCTCCACGATCCCCAGCGCTTCGCCCTCAAAACCTCGCAAACTTAAAAAAAACCCATCGAAGCCCATCGAACCGCGAACCGCGCTGTATCATCCAGGAATTCTAATCTTTTTGTGTTGCGCGCAGGAGACTTATCCGATCTACCAAACCAAAAAAACTCATCCGAATAACTTCAAACCCGCCACCCAAACCAAACCTCCCTACCAAAACCCCCGAAGCCCCCAAAAATTCCCCAAAAATCCAAAAAAATCCAGAACCAAATTTCCCAAATGAATGCATTACAATCAAGGAATTAATTTCCGCAGCGGCGGAATGAAACTAAAAATTCGCCGCTTGGATCGGCCCGTCCCTGAGCAATCAATATGGCCTCCAGCCGTACGTGGGGGACGCATCTGAAGTGAGGTTTTTCATCCAAAAAGTGTTAGAACCCCGCGATAACCCCGCAAAACCCGACCGGACGTCCCCGTAGCGGTCCACAGTGTCCTCTCCCCCAAAAACATTCCCAAAACCGCTGATAATTAATTCATAAAGCCCCAAAACTGGCGTGCGCAAGACGCGTTACGCCGAAGAGTGTTCTTGCTGCCTAGGACCAGCCGATCTTTACCCCGAGTGCGCGAACAGGAGTGAAAAAAAAGTGAAGACACCTCTCGGTGAAGTGCCCGGCAGCCCCCATGGTCACCTGATCCCAGGGGAGTTCCACATTTAACCCCAAACGTCATGTCCGAGGACACGATGAAGGAAACTGCTGGAAGGATCGAGGGCCGTGAGGAAGAGCTCGCCGAAGACGAAGAGCTGACCCCCGCGTTGCCCGACAAATTGAGTATCCAGCAGATCCTCGAGGGGATGACCAACGAGTTCAACAGGGCAGTCGCCAAGTGCAACGACGACGAGAAAAACACCGAGAAAATCGGCAACGCCGACGGTGAGACGAACGAGGGGAGCACATCGCTGGAGAATGGTGAAATGCTCGAGGATTCAGTATTAGAGGGAACCGAGGAGGCGAGCGAGAGCCCTGAGGAGGTTATCAGCGACCCGAAGGAGCCACTGAGGGACGGCAACGAGGTTGGGAGGCAGGAGGCGCCGAAAAAGGATGGCAACGTGCCGAGAATTGTTCTGACATTCAGAACTATCGACGAAAACACGAATGACGGAAAGAAGACGAAGATTTCGAGCTGTGGGCCCAGTTTGAGTCTAGTTACTGAGGAGCTGGTGCACAGTGATCAGATTGGGGGGGTCTCGGTGAAGATTGAACACTCGGACGAGGTGTCTGAAGGTGTTGACAAGTCTGATAACGAGGAGGGGAGGGATGGCGATGAGGTTAAGTCTGTTGGGATGGGGGAGGCCGAGGGGAAGGATGGGGTTGTGGCTGGCGAGGGGGATGAGGGTGGCAAGGGGGATGGGGAGGAGGTGAAGGTGGCACCTGCCACCAGGAAGAGGAAGTACGCCAGCAGGCAGAAGGCGGTGAGCACTGATTCACCATGTCCAAAACGATCAGCCAGACGATCTTGCAAGGAGCAGTTCAGTGTTCTTGAGAGTGCCATGGCCAGGAAGGAGAAGTCTTACTACACTGGGGATAGCAAGGTGACGAAGAAAGCTGTGAAGGCCTCGGGGAGGTCCAAGAGGCTCAGTGGGGCCAAGGACAGGGGCAGGGGGGATGCCAACGCGAGTCTTGAGTTGGGGAGCTCGGTGAATGAGGGGAACAGTAGTTTGGAGGAGGCCAGGGAGGCCAGTCCTGGGGATGCGGGCGAGGAGAGGGCCAGGGGGGCCGGCGAGTTCGAGGGCATGCCCAAGCTGTCGCCGATGGTGAAGGAGATGGAGAAACTGGCGAAGGGGGAGCCGGGGAAGAGTGACAAACCCTTTTTGAGACCTGTCGTGGGGAAAAACAGGAGGGATCGCGGCAGGGCCAGGAGCGCCGCTGCGGGGAGGAGGATGGTGAAGGTTGAGGGGTTCGAGGACGGGTCGGAGGCTGCTGAGGCGGGGAAGAATAATGATTATCCAGAAGGTATTTGGGGCTTTTTGGAAGATGGGCTTCAGAATTTTTGGCTTCAGTTGGAGTTTATTCGGGGCTTTGGTGAATGGAAACGTTAATTTTTTTATGTTAACAAGTATTGGATTGTCTTTAAATCTCCAGTACTTTATTGGAAATTTGATAGACAGGGGTCAGTCTAAGAATAATGATTGTCCAGGAGGTATTTGCAGTTTTTTGAAGGTTTTGGTATTCTGGAATTTTTGGCTTCATTTGAAATTTATTCGAGTTTTTGTTGAATGGAAACGTCAATTTTTTTATTTTAAAAAGTATTGGTTTGTCTCTGAATCTCCAATACTTCACTGTGAATTTGATAGACAGGTGACACTCTTTTTAGGGATAATGATGGTCTAGAAGGTATTTGGAATGTTTCGGAAGATGTTTTAGGATTTTTGGCTTCTTTTGAAATTTATTCGGGTTTTTGTTGAATGGAAACGTTAATTTTTTTATGTTAACAAGTATTGGATTGTCTTTAAATCTCCAATACTTTATTGGAAATTTGATAGACAGGGGTCACTCTAGAAATAATGATAGAATATAGGCATTTACAATTATTTTAAAGATTTGACATTTTTAAATTTTTGGTTTCACACGAAATTTATTCATATTTTTGTTGAATAGGAAATATTAATTTGGTTTATGCTAAAAATTATTGGTTTCTCTCAAAATCCCCAATACTTGATTAAATGAAAAGTTTTCTTGAAAACGTTTGTAAACTCTTCTAAAATCCTCTATTTAAATTTTTCAATAAAAAGTGACGATCCAAATGCTCCAAACCATGACCACAACAATTTTCCACAAACATAAACTGCAATAAATGTTTTAATTTCATAAATTCCCTTAAATCTCCAATATTTGGAGCTAAATTCGTGTTTATCAGAGTTTAGGTCAGAACCAATTGAAAACCTCGTGCAAACAATCCCATAAAATCCCATTTTTTTAATCCTCAAAAACGTTTCAAACTCTTCTACACAAATTCAGATTTAAATAAAGGAGTTCAGAAGAGTTTAGGGCCAGAAGCTTCATTCACTAAAAAGTGGCGGTTCAGATGCAGACAAAATCGACAAAATAATTTAACTAATCCCCTCAAATGACCCAAAAAAACCACAACAATTTTCCCCAAAGATAAAGTGCAATAAATATTCAACTAAACTACAATAATATTTTGTTTCCAGAATCCAACGTTCCCACGAAAAGAACACGTCGCAGCATGGCCCCAAGTCCAAGTCCAGCGGAAGGGCAAGCATCGAAGCCAGAATCAACGGCAATACTCAGTGAAACCTACGAGCAATCGATGCTCTGCCTCTGCCAAGTTAGATCACAGTTATACGTAACGATAACAGGCTCAGGCGCACCCCTGTACTGTACAGCAATAGATTCAATTGATAATCGATTAATTGGATGCTGCAACGAAGTGGACAGCAACGACGTTGCCATGAGGCGTCCAAGTACCCGAGTACCTTTCATAATCCTCTGTCGTGCCCACAAAGAGCGTCTTTTGCGTCACAACTGCTGTCCATCTTGCGGTCTATTCTGCACACAAGGGAAATTCACCCAGTGCAACAATGGCCATCAGTACCACATCGATTGTGAAGTATTCGTTAATAAGAAGCCAGTCTGTCCTCATTGTGCCAATGATAGCTCAAATATCCATGTTCTCGTCACCATGTCTGGCAGCAGAAAACCCGTGTACATACCCTCCAGGAAGAAATTCTCGAAATTACCTTCTGCTAAGATGAGTCTGCCTGGCAAGGGGGACAACACAAAATTGGCAGAACGTCCACCGAGTCCACTAGTCAGTCCTGGGGATATCAAAATTCCGGAACCTACTGTTACTTCTGAGAGACCTGAACGCTACACTGTTATGAGTCTCTATCAGGCTGTTAAGAATGGCGATCTGGAGAAGTTGGTCAATGTTCTTAGTGAGTTTTTTTAATATAGTTGGTAATTAGTCAACTGTCATTTTTTACGACAGAAAGCCAATTAATGACATTTAATGTCAATTATTTATTTTTCGCGGCTCACAATTTTCTTGCAGTTTATCATTAAATTTGATTTTAATTTAACTTGATCTATATTTCAATTTTGTTCTGTTATCTGATCTCAATATGTTCTTCAAACTAGTCAATAATTAATTTTTTAGGCTCACAATTTGGCTTATTTTATTCTTGCAGTTGCTTTTACTTTAGGAAATATTCGAGATTCCTCAGGAATTAGTTGAAAGATTGAATGATTTCTCAATTCATTATTCATAATATCAACTATATTCTGTTCTACGAGAATCTACATTGCAATTTTCTTCAATATTTTGCAAACTAGTCAAATGAATGATCAACATTTAATGTCAATAATTATTTTTTAGGATCACAATTCGTTCAAAATTATTCTTAAAATGGCTTTTACTTTGAGAAAAATTCAAGATTTCTCTGAAATTAGTGGAAAAATTGAATGAAACTCCTCGATTAATTATTCATAATAGAAAACGAATTCTTTTCTGTGCGAAATATGATCCAAATCGAATGAAAAATGTATTTTTCATGATTCCAGGCTGTGGTTACAATGCAAATCACACATTTCGTGAACACTCCCAACGAACTGGCCTCCACATTGCTGCAGAGCGTGGCCACTTGGGCTGTGTAAACATACTAGTGCAGGCTGGAGCGCAGCTCGACGTCATGGATAAAAACCAACTGACGCCCCTCATGCTGGCAGCTACCGAGGGCAAAACCGAGATTGTGAGGTACTTGGTACGAGTTGGGGCTGATGTTACGTTGAAGGGAGAGGATGGAATGACCGCTCTTCATCGAGCTGCCAAGTCAGGGCATCTCGAGGCCTGTCAAATCATTCTTTCCGAGTGTAAAGTGCCCAAAACACTAGTAGGTGAGGTCTACAAATCATCCCAAATAGCACAGCGAATAAAAAATAAAATTTTGTGATTTTAGAGGAAATTGTCTCTCAATATTTTCCCTTAAATAAATTAATTGTGGGGATAATTCAATATTCAATGAGTGCATTACTAATTACGATTAGGATTACGATTAATAATTCGCTAACGATTTTTTATAGAACATTTGCTTGAAAAAAGTCACACAATTAGTCTTATTTTATTTTTATCGACTGAAAGAAATGAGATACACTGTTGTAAAATTGAAGAAACCAATCGAAGTAGTAAATATTAATTAAATTCGTTCATTAGAATTAATATAAATGAGGAAAATTCTGGAAATTTCCATTTTCTTACTTCCCAAAATTTGAAATTTCATCACATTTTCAGTGAATTATGATATTTTATGATTTTTCTCCCCTGAATTGCATTCAATATGGAATTGCAATTTTTTCCTACAAAATATATTCACTAAAATATTTTTTAAATGAATTATTCTTTTTGTTAATCAGACTCTGTGGACGACGGTGGCTGGACAAGTCTCATCTGGGCGTGTGAATTTTGTCACATTGACGTAGCCCGTTTTTTAATAGAAAAAAAATGTGATCCCCTGATACGCGATGCAGAGCAAAACATAGCCCTCCACTGGAGTGCATTCAGTGGTAGTTCCGAAATAACAGAAATGCTTTTAAACGAAGGCTGTGATGTTAACGCTGTGAATGTTCATGGAGACACACCACTTCACATTGCAGCACGACAGGATCAGTATGCAGTGAGTGTTTTGTTGTTGGCTAGAGGTGCTAAAGTATCCGAAGTTAATGCAGCTGGTGAGACAGCTGTGAATTGCTGTACGACTGATGGAGATACCCTGGCAGCACTCAGACTGAATGCAAGAGTCAATGAATTGTCGGAGCACATGTGGGAGAAGACAACGAGAATTTTGACGAATGACATATCGAGGGGAAAGGAGACCAATCCGATACAGTGTGTCAATGGATTCGATGCTGAGGACAAACCCACTGATTTCATTTATGTGACTGAAAATTGCTTTACTAGCAATATACATGTTGATAGGACAATAACGTCGCTGCAGTCGTGCAGGTGTGAGGACAATTGTAGCTCGGAAAAGTGTCTGTGTGGTAATATTAGTCTACGGTGTTGGTACGATGAGGAGGGCAAACTTATACCAGAGTTCAATTATGCAGGTAAACAAAAAATAAGAAAATTCATTTTGTTAAATAAACATAAGTGTTTGGCACTTTTTCTTATGCAACTAATTTTTAAAAAATTGACTTGGAAATTTTGGGGAGGATTGGAAATAGCTGATGACAGCCAGTTGATGTAGAATTGGGATTTTTGAGGGATAAAAAAGCCTGAAATAGACTCTGGGACTAAAATACTGTTGAGTGTTCTCTGCAGTTTCTCAAATTTATATTTATTTATTTTTTTAGTTAAATTCGACTAGACTTCAAACAGGAAAAATGATGAATCTTACATTTTATTTAATTACATATTAAAAAATAACCGTCGTTCTTTTTTTACTGCAACAAAATTATGTAAAATTGGGCTCAAATCGAAGCATTTATGTTTTATTACGAAATTTTGATAGAAATTTTAACGAAAAAAATCATTAAAATACTCAGAACTCCTGAATGATGCCGAGAATTTCTCCTTTCACAGCATAAAAAAACTAAAAATATACCTTTTCACCAACACTGTAGTATTCCCTGCATTTTCTCTATCACCTACAACTCAACTCCCCTAAACTCCAAAATTTATATCACTGCATTCTCAATTACAGATCCCCCAATGTTATTTGAATGCAATCAGGCCTGTGATTGCAACCGAATCACCTGTAATAATCGTGTTGTTCAGCACGGTTTGACCCAAAGATTCCAATTATTCAGAACGAAGGGAAAGGGCTGGGGTTTAAAGACCCTGAGACCCATTCCCAAAGGTGCTTACGTCTGTGAATACATTGGTGAAATTATTTCCGACTCCGAGGCTGATCACCGTGAGGATGACTCGTATCTCTTCGATCTCGACAACAGGGTGAGTATAATTTTTCTCGAATAGCAACGGCGATCTTTCTCATTCACTCATTCTCATTTATTTTTATTCAGGATGGTGAGACCTACTGTATCGACGCCAGGAGATATGGAAATCTAGCACGTTTCATAAATCATTCCTGCGCCCCAAATTTACTTCCCGTTCGTGTTTTTGTGGAACATCAGGATCTCCATTTTCCCAGAATAGCATTTTTTGCTAATCGTGATATTGCAGCTGACGAAGAGCTTGGGTAATTACATTCTGGATGCTTTCTTAACTGGATTAAGGATATCATTCACATTCATCTGCGTTTTGTTTTTTGTTATCTGAGAATGTATATTTTCTTTATCTCTTTAGATTGATTACTGAGTTTTAATTGACGTTTGGCTTTTTCATTTGGTTCTTCATACATTTATAAAATTACTAATAAAAGGTTTTTAACATTTGGACATTATCGTTATTATGCACGCATCCTCAATTGCACTGAATTCGAGAGAAATACCTAGTTTAATGGTTTTTGTTTCAATGATGTACTGGGGAAAATTTTTGAATGAAATTTCCAGGATTTTTGTCATTTGAAGTTCATCATTTTGTAGAGATACCGATGAAAGCTGCGAATTTCAGTCCTCGAAATGGATAGAAAGCAGGAAAGTTAGGTGAAAATTTTGTTCAATTTTCAATGAATTGAAAACTTTGGAATTTGGTAATGAATATTCATGTTTTGATTGAAAATTCTCGTCTTTTTGTGGTTCAAAAATTTAAAACTTCATTGAGCTTTCTTGAAAATTTAATTTTTTTTCTAACAATGTATCAAAACGAACGTCGTAAAAACTAAATATTACTCTAGGTATATCTTACGAAGCTATTAAAATCTGGAGAGATGTCCCCAAAACCCCAATGGACCGAAAATTCCCACATTCCATCAACTCATCGAAATCGTAAGAAAAAACCCTAAAGAAATATAATTTTTCCTCTTAAATAATTGCAGATTTGATTATGGAGAGAAATTCTGGATCATCAAATACAAATCTTTCACCTGTACCTGTGGAGCTCTCAACTGCCGATATTCCGAGAAAACAATTCAAGTAACACTAGATAATTATAGAAAAAAAATGCAGCAAGAGGAGAGTTTAGCTGCTCAAATAGTTTGAATATTTTTCTTATTTTCAATTGAATTTAATTTCGTTGATCTCATGATTGGAACGAGCACAAGATAATGCAAAAGAAAATTAAAATGAACAAAAGCCTAATGAGTACAAATGATCGAGCTGATTGAAGAGTGCTACCAATTTGTAGCTCAAGAAAATTTATAACTTCGACTCTTAATAAGCAATTGCGAGTTTATTTTGTACAGATTTTTCGCCGAGCATTTTTGCCATTTTGTTTTATTCTCCAGATGCTCAGACTTCTGGATTTTAGTGCCACGTTGAAATTCTTATTTTATTATTCGATCGCATAATTATCTAGTGAACAAATATGTTTAGAGTGTCCATGATTAATAATGACTCCAGTGTGTTCAGTCTCTCCACTTATATTTTATTCCACAATGATCGCAATGTTTGCTCATTTTACAATTATCGAAAGTGTTTTGTAAAGGCAGGAGAGGGGTTAAATAAATCGAGATGTACATCGTTTTGTACAAATCCATTTTTGTATAATATAATATAAAGCAAATAACGAGTGAGAAAAATTAGTAATGAAAAAAATGTCTGCATAATTGAACGGATTCAACCTCTCCTTTTCGTAATTAGTGTCACGAGTATCCAGGGGAGCGGGTGAGGGGAACGTAAGTAGACAAACTTTGGACTTCCAGGCATTACCCGGGCACTAAGTCAAGGGTTCCACGGAGTTCCACTTTGCGGTGAGTACTTGAGTTGCTTCGGTATACAGTATATTGCTATCATGTTCTGCTGTACACTTTATTCACTCCTCTTCTTAACTCATTTTTTATTTGATTCCAATTTTTAATTAAATTTTTTATTTATTTTGAATTGTTATTTCTTCTCCATCAAGTTACCAGGAAATTTTTTTTTATTTGTGCCAGTCTTTGGATATTCAGGAATAAATAAAAGAGATTTTTTTCAAGTTTTGAAATAAATAATTTGGGTTTTGCATCATTTTTTTGAAGAATAAAATTCTGAGGCACAAAGTTTCGGTTAAAAATCGAGAAGTTATCCATTTGTTGCCGTGTATTGTTGTGACGTCATAATGCGAATATTTTCAACCCCTCATAACTGATCAATTTTCCATTATTTATCATCACAAAAAATACGTGTCCCATATTTTCTATCCAATTTTAATATCAAACAAAAAATGCAGAGAGAAGCACAGATAAAATACTGTTTTTTATTCTCTTGTCATGTTTACATTAGCTTCAATTACTCCGTCGGTACTACCACCTGTAGCCTCACATCTCCCTTTCGCAAACACAATCACGGCTCCGAAATTATTTCCATTTTCCAACCGTAAACAAATCAACAAATGATTATTTCTATTTTTTACTATCGAGAAGAACCGAGTGTTGATATTTTTCGTGTTAAATGAACAATAAATATCGGTCATTCTTCATTAATGTTATTTATAATCGCCTATAACTTACCAATTTTCCATGATTTATTATCAAAAAAAAATACGTGTCTCATATTTTCCATCCAATTGTAATATTAAAAAATAAAAAACAGAATGAAATACCAATAAAATACTATTTTTATTCTTTTGTTCTGTTTACATTAGCTTCAATTACTCCGTCGGCACTACCACCTGTAGCCTCACATCTCCCTTCCGCAAACACAATCACGTCTCCGAAATTATTTTCATTTTCCAACCGTAAATAAATCAATATTTATTGATTTTTTACTATCGAAAAGAACCGAGTGTTGATATTTTTCATGTTAAATTAACAATAAATATCGGTCATTCTTCATTAATGTTATTTATCATCGCCCATAACTTACCAATTTTCCATGATTTATTATCAAAAAAAATACGTGTCTCATATTTTCCATCCAATTTTAATATTAAAAAATAAAAAACAGCGAATGAAATACCGATAAAATACTATTCTTATTCTTTTATGTTTACATTAGCTTCAATTACTCCGTCGGCACTACCACCTGTAGCCTCACATTTCCCTTCCGCAAACACAATCACGGCTCCGAAATTATTTCCATTTTCCAACCGTAAACAAATCAACAAATGATTATTTCCGTTTTTACCGTCCAGAAGAGCCGAGTGTTGATATTTCTCATGATAAAAGCAAAAGTAAACACCGAAATAACATCGTGCGCAGTGCTGCCGCTCTCGTGGATTGTTTGCGTCGATGGGTTTACGTTTGAAAATTGAATTGAAAGACCGAACGCCGGCAGTTAGTGTAGCGACCGTGGAGCGCTTACAAGCGCCATGCGTAGCTGCGTAGAGCCGTAGTTGTTTTATTTTATTTCCCGTGAAATAACGCGAGTGAATAAAGTCGCGTTTTATTTTTGAATCCAACCGAGAGTTGATGCATCATTATTGAGTGCTGTAAGGGTAATTGCGGTATTCCTGGTGTTTATCAAAGCGTTTTTCATTTGTTTCGAGCGCTAGTGAATACTCGCGATGGCGAGTTGTGCCGAGGGCCGTGAGAATTTGTCATGTGATTGTGAGTTTTATTGAGGTGGTGGTGTGTGGTTATCAACGAGGATATTGTTCTTAATAAATCACGCAGGATGACCAGCTGACGGATACACTCGGCGATAACGAGGAGTTCGTGCGGAAGGACGACGAGGAAGGAGAGAAGGAGGACAGTGGAAGGTAGGAATTCAATTCTCAAAATGTATTTACAAATTCAGGAGGCGATATCGCACGACCCAACGGTGCGACTTGCGCGAGTCAAACCTCATTTTAAAGCCTGAAAAAATAGCTTGAATTTGGAAAAAAAGTTGTTCATTTTCACTCTGCGGATCGCGAGATATTCCTGGTTGAAGATTACTTGGTTTCGCTTGACTCCCGGAGTGGAGTTGAAAAAACTTTTCTCGATAAATGTTGAATTATCTCGTTAATGAGGGGGTTTAGACGGAAATGTCATAAAACAGTTTTTGTGGGGAATTTTGTCGGCTACAAAAAAGGTTTTATGGCTTTTTGGTCTGGGAGCACTCGTTACCGAGATAAATTGAGATTTAGAAAATCGGAGGGGGAATCGCTGCTCCGAAATCTGTTTGTTTTCTACATTCGAATGAATTAAAGTGAGGTTCGATGGAGCCAGTTTAGAATTGTTTGGAGTGCCCTCGAGATGTGAATACCCGTGGACTCGAGAGTGACAGTATTTGTTTACACTTTTAGTGAAATGGCTTTCAAGGGTTTGTGTTGTCAGCGATACGGGGGAATTTCACAGGCTGTCGAGCGTTGGATTAAAATTTCCATGTGTTTTTCATTTTTGCTTTCCCATCGTGTCCCGTATTTTTGGTATTGAGAGGAGCGAATGAACTGGTGAACGGAGAAAAAAGAGGAATTAGAGGGGTTTTACAACCAGTGACATTCGCACGAGGTTTGGGGTGAATTTTTTTCTGATCGATTCAATGCACTGCGCGATAATTTGGCTCGATTTTTTCATCAGTCCCTTTAGAGTTGGTTTTTCGTTTCCGGGAGCTGTAGGCTGACATTAGGAGGGAAAATAAAATCGTCAGCTGTGATTTGATGCAATTTGCAGCGAAAACTTGGGGGAATTCATTATTCTAATGGTTGCACGCAAGGCGTAGGTTCTAAAGAAAATTTCGTGATTTACTTTATGCGCTGTAGGTCGTGAGTGGCTCCAAGTTGTATAGTTTCCATCAACGATGATGTATAAAGTTAGTTCGGTGGAGCAAAGGCCTCTTCGCGTGTAGTAAACAATCTTGAAACCTGAGTTAATGTAAAACCCTTTAAAATGAGGACTGGGTATTCATCAAATGAGAAGGAATTCTTCATTCATTGATGAATTCATTTATTCTGAAATTGTTCTGTTATTTCCGATATGTTTGAATATTCATGCCAAATTCTTTTACTGGAAAGAATATTCAAAAATATTGGAAACAACAAAACAGTGGCAGGAAAATAATTTTGCATGAATATTCAATAAGAATCCGACAAACCATGGAATCAAATTTTGACAGAGAAATGGAAAAATTTCTATGATGAATTCAATTCAGGGGGTTTTTAGAGTGTGAACTAGTTTAACTACTCGAATAGTTTGAACATCTTCCTTATTTTCAATTGAATTCAATTTCGTTGATCTCATGATTGAAACGAGCACAAGATAATGCAAAAGAAAATTAAAATGAACAAAAGCCTAATGAGTACAAATGATCGAGCTGATTGAAGAGTGTTACCAATTTGCAGCTCAAGAATATTTATAATTTCGACTCTTAATAACCAATTGCGAGTTTATTTTGTACAGATTTTTCGCCGAGCATTTTTGCCATTTTGTTTTATTCTCCAGATGCTCAGACTTCTGGATTTTAGTGCCACGTTGAAATTCTTATTTTATTATTCGATCGCATAATTATCTAGTGAAAAAATATATTTAGAGTGTCCATGATTAATAATGACTCCAGTGCGTTCAGTCTCTCCACTTATATTTTATTCCACAATGATCGCAATGTTTGCTCATTTTACAATTATCGAAAGTGTTTTGTAAAGGCAGGAGAGGGGTTAAATAAATCGAGATGTACATCGTTTTGTACAAATCCATTTTTGTACAATATAATATAAATCGAATAACGAGTGAAAAAAATCAGTAATGAAAAACTATGTCTGCATAATTGAACGGATTCAACCTCTCCTTTCCGTAATTAGTGTTACGAGCATCCAGGGGAGCGGCGGCGTGATTTTTTCGAAGAATAACATTCAGAATTCTCCCCATAATGATGGACAAATGTTTAAAACTCAATTTCACAGACTTCAGACACTTGAAATTGTAAGAAAATTTATTTAGTCGTTGAAGTGTTGGACATTTTGCTTCCAAATCACAAGGGATGGCCATCAATATTAAAACGATTTCCGACTTACATTGATAAAGGTTTGAATATACTCATAAAAATTTAAAAATAGTATAATATTAATAGTTTAAATTTCCGATTGATGATGAATTAAATATTTGGTAATATTAAACTATAAATTTTTCATTAAGTAGATAATTCAAATTCGTAAAAGGGATTCCGATTAATAAAATAATTGAGAATTTGAATATTCAAATTGATGATTACTTACGAATGAAACTGAAACTAGCAGAATATTCGTCAGCGGAAAATTCAATTTAGGGGATATTTAAGTGTAGGAAAGTCAAATAATCATATACACAAATGTTTTTCAAGTGTGAAAGAGTTTGCACATCACTTAAAAACGTTTTTACACCCCTAGATTCGCCTAAGACAAATCTTCTGCTCTCGAATCTTTCGCTAGTTTCAGCTTCATTATTTACGATTGATTATTAATGATTATTCGGCTTCAAAATTTAGCGTTAATCATGATTTATGAATCCTATGAATATCCCTGCAACTCACATAATTTTCCGCTCCATCAGTGACTTCGTGCATTGATTTTCCAACTCGATAAAAACCGTCTGGCAAATAGACAATTGTATCGTTCGACCGTAAATTCTCCGCTCTCTTCTCCATCAAGTATCTCCAACTCCCAATTTGCCTGTTTCTCATTAGACCAGTC